TGCTGTGATTTTGTGTAATGAAGCTTTTTGTACCGTGAATTTGCCATGTCTTGCTTTGTTATTTGGTGTATCAAAATATTATAATTACACAAAATCACATCAGTACAAGTTATTACAAAAAATCACATCAAGACAAGTTATTATTACACAAAAGCAAAGCAGGATAAGTTTATTACAGAAAATCACAGCGGGACAAATTTATTACACAAAAGCACAGCAGTATAAATTTATTACACAAAATCACATCAGGACAAGTTATTACGCAAAATCACAGCATGAAATGTCATTACACAAAACCACAGCAGGACAAGTTATTACACAAAATCACATCAGGATAAGTTTTTACACAAAATCAGATCAGGATAAGTTATTTTTACACAAAATCACACCAGGTCAAATTTATTACACAAAATCACATCAGGACAAGTTATTATTACACAAAATTAGATCAGGATAAGTTTATTACACTAAACTACAGCAGGACAAGTTTTCACACAAAATCATGGCATTACACAAAGTTTTCTTACACAAAATCACACCAGGATAAGTTTATTACAAAAAAAATCACTGTGAAGAATGAGCTCATCATTTAAGACTATAAATTGCCACCTTTTATTGATTGTCAGACTGAAATAAAAATCTCCCCAATTTCAGGAAAACTAGAAACTGTTAATCCATTAAGCAGTCTCCTAAATCATTTAATCATCTTTGTTTTGAAACATCAATAGACAAACAAGGATAATGTGAAGCTGATACATTCAAACACATTGCCTTGTGGAAGATTACTTGAAATCTTCACCATCATCATTAAATTTTTTTGTAAGCTGCAAAAAATTCTTTATCTTGAAAAAAAAAAGAATAAGATTTTCTTTTAGAAATTGTGAGCTTTAAACTAATTTTTTGCTCAAGGCTGCTTATTTCTACTAATTTCTTAAGTGATATTTTTGTTTTTCTAAAGAAAACAATAGTTTAGAAGGATAAGATAATTGCTAAGCAATGAAATAGATCTACTTGCTTTGATGAACTTTTTGTGTTGGTGTGCGTTATAGTTTTATGATTCTGTAGATATACATAGAAATAAATTGTTGAGCTATGTTTGTAAATGGGATGTTCCTCTGTTTAAATATCTTTGCATCATTAAAATTATAGGAAGAAACTTCATTAATGACTTTTATCATCTTCTTTATATGATCCTGTTTTCCAGGCTTCTATGAAAATAGTAAAATCAAAGCACAGAAGGCGCTGAATTTGTTTGGGTCTCAGAATGTCAGAAAGGTGAAGGTTGTGAGATTATAAACCAATTTGTTTTTGTATAGTGCCACCAATGTTTTCCAGTGTTTTAACTGTAGTAAATTGGCTATAAGACTAATTGCAACTCTGATATTCAATTCAATGTTTATTTGACTTAAACACTTTAAAAAAAAATGAGTTGCCTTAACTGGGATTTGAACTCCAGACCTCTCGCTTCCTAAGCGAGCGTGCAAACCCCTCGGCCACGGTGAAGTTATATGTTAATGGCCTCAAGAAAACCATATTATTCTAAATTTATTATTTTGACGCTAACCCTGTTGTTTAACACAGATGGAGCTTACTATAAGTATGTATATCTATAAGGAATAAAACAATATTAGAAATCTTCAGCCATTTGGGAACTATTTTGCTTGAAAATTAATGCGCCTGTCATTTGACAATCTTTACGCAGTGATCTCCCCTAAATTTTTCAGTGTTAGTGTACATATAGAGGGAAGTAACCACTTCAAAAAATCGGACTACTTTCAGCATTTGCAATTAACAGCATCAGGGTCTGAAATTTCGCTACCAGTATTTGTTTGGTCTGACGACCCAAACAAATAAAAACTGATTTTTTAGTAATTAGGTATGAAATAAAGAGAATACTATTGTTTTAGTGTGACTTTAGCTTATTCAATAAAAACAAATAAATAAATATATCCTCTATTGGTATGATTTTCTTCTTGCTATTTCACTGTTTTTAACATATAGTCAATCTAAGATGATAAGATTTGTTTTGTGACATTCAGAAGTTGATGAGAAAAAAGTAGACATAGTAAAATGTAATTTTATGTTGGGATTATGTGAGATGTTTAGATAATGGATTTTCTGTCAGGTTTTGTAAATTAATGAGTAAAAAGCTTAATGATTTTGATCATTACTCTGATGGAACCAGAAACTAGCTGTCTGACCAGGCTCCACTATACTGTTGGTAGCTCAGTTTTTCTATATTGATATTAAAATTTCTTAAACTTTCAATGGACTGTTCAAAATTCTTAGCAGGGCAAATCAATTACCCACAAATTTAGCACAGTACTAATTTAAGTTTCTTTTAATCTATATCATATCATAGTGATACTTCTTTTTTCTGTCATCAAGACCTCAATACATTCCTTTCACACATTGCAAGACATAAAGTATTTAAAAAATAGAAGGAAATGAAAAATAAAGTACATATTACATATTTTTCAAGAAATGGGGAAAATGCTTGATATAGTCAATGGCATATTGATTCACTGATTGTTGGCTGCCCTGTCCTGGAACTGTCCATGATTGATTTCTTATCCACAATATTTCTCACAAAATTACTTCCAAATCATTTCCCTTGCCAGTTGTAAGGATTCTTTTTGATTTTTTTTGTGTGTGTAGAAGAAAACCTAGAATACAGCATTCTATACAAGTGTCAAAGCTGGAATTAATTATTTCACAAGAATTCTCACATCTATTAGAATGATTTTTCCAAGTGAATTATCTGAACTATATATAAGGAAAGAGCATTTAAAATTTTGGAATGTCCAGTATTAAGGTGGAAGTATAAAATAATTGTATGAGTACAGTATGTACTGTAGTCTGAACCTATGTTTTCAGACCTTTTTAGCTCACCTGTCACAAAGTGACAGGGTGAGCTTTTGTGATCGCTTTTCGTCCGGCGTCCGTCCGTCCGGCGTCCGTCCGTCGTCCGTCCGTCCGTCCGTCCGTAAACTTTTGCTTTAAATGACATCTCCTCATAAACCACTGAGCCAATTTCATCCAAACTTCACAGGAATGTTCCTTTGGTGGTCACCTTTAAAAATTGTTCAAAGAATTTAATTCCATGCAGAACTCTGGTTGCCATGGCAACCAAAAGAAAAAACTTTAAATATCTTCTTTTAAAAAACCATAAGAGCTAGAGCTTAGATATTTGGCATGAAACATCTTCTAGTGAGTGTCTACCAAGTTTGTTCAAATAAAAGCCCTGGGGTCAAAATTGGCCCCGCCCGGGGGGGGTCATTGATTTTTCCTATATGCATATAGTAAAAACTTAAAAAATCTTCTTTTAAAGAACCCAAAGAGCTAGAGCTAAGATATTTAGCATGAAACATGTTCTAATGGGTGTCTACCAAGTTTGTTCAAATAAAAGCCCTGGGGTCAAAATTGGCCCCGCCCCTGGGGGTCATAGATTTTCCCTATATGCATATAGTAAAAACTTAAAAAATTTTCTTTTAAAGAACCGTAAGAGCTAGAGCTTAGATACTTGGCATGAAACATCTTCTAGTGAATGTCTACCAAGTTTGTTCAAATAAAAGCCCTGGGGTCAAAATTGACCCAGCCCCAGGGGGTCATAGATTTTCCCTATATGCATATAGTAAAAACTTAAAAAATCTTCTTTTAAAGAACCCAAAGAGCTAGAGCTAAGATATTTAGCATGAAACATTTTCTAATGAGTGTCTACCAAGTTTGTTCAAATAAAAGCCCTGGGGTCAAAATTGGCCCCGCCCCAGGGGGTCATTGATTTTCCCTATATGCATATAGTAAAAACTTAAAAAAATCTTCTTTTAAAGAACTCAAAGAGCTAGAGCTAAGATATTTAGCATGAAACATGTTCTAATGGGTGTCTACCAAGTATGTTCAAATAAAAGCCCTGGGGTCAAAACTGGCCCCGGGGGGGGGGTCATTGATTTTCCTTATATGTGTATAGCAAAAACTTAAAAATCTTCTTTGGAAAAACCCAAATAGCTAGAGTTTAGATATTACACATGAAACATCTTTAAATAAATATCTACAAAGTTTGTTAAAATAAACGCCCGGGGGTCAAAACTGGCCCTGCCCCAGGGGTGTCATTGTTTTTAACTATATGTGTATAGTAAAAACTTTAAAAATCTTCTTTTAAAAAAGCCAATGAGCTAGAACTTAGATGTTTAGCATGAAACATCTTCTTATGGGTGTCTACCAAGTCTGTTCAAATAAACAAATAAAAGCCCTTGGGTAAAAATTGGCCCGGGGGTGGGGGGGGGCCTATATACAGGTGAGCGACCTCAGGGCCATCATGGCCCTCTTGTTAGCTTTTACCCTGTTGAATTTCTTAAATTGACATTTCCAGCTTCCTTTTTTTAACTGTTCATTATCAATTTGGTGATATATCAAAATGAAAATTTGAAGCTGGTCAGCTAACAGAACAGGATAGAGTCTGCATGTCATCTGCACAATTGTGCATTCTGGCCTGGCTTTATACTGTAGGCAAAACCACAGGTCCAGTAGGCTAAGGATTAGTTTAAATCTTGGCTTATTTTACTGACCAGTGACCAGTGCAGACCAAGGTCATGTGTGATTTCATTAGTAAACTATAGAAGATGAGATTGTGTTTCATTTATGACAGTTTTCTAATAATGTAAAGATTTTGTTGTTAATGCTATATAAAATATATTGACCAAATTGAATTTATCCATGCTTCAAAATTAGTTTTATGTTCAATTTACTGTGTAAAACATACAGTTGACCAGGGTAAAAGTGCCTGACTTGAAACCAATGTATAGACATTGTATTTTGTTTAAAGAAACTCCTTTGTCCAATTTAAATAATTTATAAGAAAAAGTCACGTGATTTCAAGTGTAAACAGATATTTTTGGCGGAGAAAAAAATATTTTAAAAATGTGAAATGTATATGGAATAAAATGATTTAATATGTTATATCTTTTAATGGATACTTAAGTGTTGAGTGTTAAAAATGCCCGATGGGTAGAAAACAAAAGAATAAGCGTAAAAAGAGTGATAACAGTGACAATAATGACAGTATATGTAAGGCGGGAAGATATGCAACTTCGCCAGAGCAGGTTTGTGTCAGTAGTATTCTAAAAACGGCAAATTCTGTGCTATTTAATGACAGTAGTGATACAGAAGATAGTTTAAATCAGAGTAGAGACAGTGTGATAAATGAAAAATCGTCAATTAACGGAAATATGGCAACAGTGCATACCCCACCCACTAATACGGGACATGATATAAATGCTATTGGTGAAACATGTTCGCCCACAAATGCAGATTTGTTAATTTATTTGAAAAAGATAGATGAAAAAATTTGTAAAATGGAAAAAAAGTTAGATAAACTAGATGTTCTGGAGCAAAAAGTAAATAATTTTGAAAAAGAAATAAACAAAGTGTGGACAAATATCCAAGACCAAAATAAAAAAATTGAAGAAAGATTCATGGTTGTTGAAGAAAAGGCAGAAAGTTCCGATTTCAATTTAGGCCTAACGAATGATAAACTAATTACAATGCAAAGAGAGAATAATGCTCTAAAAGATGATATTGTCTATTTACAATCGCAGTCAATGCGGAATAACCTTGTATTTGCGAACATCGACGAAAGCCCGTCAGGGGTGCTGGAAAATACGGAGCAAAAGTTAAGAGAATTTTTGGAGCAAAATATGAAGATAGCTAAAGAGCAGGTGGAGAGAATGGCGTTTGAGCGAGTACATCGGATGGGGAATAAAATACCAGGTAGAACAAGAAATATCGTTGCGAAATTTACACTATTCAAAGAAAGAGAATTAGTTCGAAAACAATGGAAAACATTAGATAAAACCAAATATTATGTTCATGAACAATTCCCCAAGGAAATTATTGCAAAGAGGCGAGAATTGGTGCCAAAGATGAAGGAAGCGAAGCGGAACGGTCATAATGCTTGGATCTCATATGATACTTTATATGTAAACGGAAAGGCGCAGCGCGATGAACGAAGCTAGGACCACGAAGGGGGTGGTTTGAACGTGTTGGCGTGGAACGTTAACGGACTGACGAACGTGAAAAAGAATGTCAAGGATTTGTAGATATTATTGACAAAAATGATGTGATATTTTTGTTTGAAGCGTGGACAAATTCTAAAAGTATTGTAGATATTGAAGGTTATGTATCATATAATTTTTATCGAAAATATCAACATCGAAATGCTAAAAGATGTAGCGGAGGCGTTGTTATCTATGTTAAAGACAATTTGAAAAAAGGTATTTCAGTTGTTAGAAATAATCACGATTCTGTTATCTGGTTAAAGATAGATAAGTTTTTTTTCAATATAGAAAATGATATATATTTGTGTGGGGTTTACATATGGCCTGAAGGATCGCCATTTTATAATGTATGTAACGTTGATTTATTTGATGAAATTCAGAATGATATTTTTGAGTTTGAAAATGAAGGGTCTGTATTTTTGATCGGCGATTGGAATAGTCGGGTAGGTCTTAAGGCGGATTATATTATATGTGATACTGCTATTAAGTCTATAGATAATGATGATTATATTCCCGATATATCCTCCGTCAGGGCCTCCTGTGATAAAACGTGTAATTCTAACGGAATAAAACTTCTTGACTTATGCAAATCTACGTGCTGTCGAATAGCTAACGGTCGGATCAGTAATGACTATGGTATTGGTGCGTTTACATTTGTATCGCGTCAAGGGGCATCATTAATTGACTATCTACTCGCGAAAGAGCGTGATTTTGTAAATATTAGTGATTTCAAAGTACACGACTTCAATGAATGGAGCGACCATTGTCCGATTTCCGTTAATATAAACTGTAATGCAATGCCCGAGGAAGTAAATAATTCAGGATTTATGAAAATTAGATGGTCAGACGAATTTAAATCTGAATTTCGTTCAGGTATTATTGGTTGTTTACCGCAATTTAACCGATTAACGGAGGATATGTACATTCAAGATAGAGCTTCTGTAAATAACATTTTAAATGAATTCACCGATACGGTTCGTCAGGTAGCTGACCCTCTGTTTACACGTTATGTGTCAAATCGACGCGATGTACATTTTGTTGATAATCGAACCAATGATAAAGAATGGTTTGACCTTGAATGTAAACATGCAAGGCAAAGGTATATAGAAGCTCAGCGTGTCTTTAAAAGATGTAACTCTGACTATAGTAGAGAGCAGTTTTTGATGCTCAAAAGCAGATATAAACAAATAGTTAAGAAAAAGAAGAAAATATTTGAAATCAAAAAAGTATCTGATATCGAAAATTTACGTTTTCGAAGGCCTAAAGATTTTTGGAATTATTTTAAAGCTAAAAAAAAGAATAATGACATAGATATATCGCTTGAATCTTTTTACAAATATTTTTCAGAAGTAAGTAATGATATTTTTCAAAATGAAAATATTGAAGCAGAAGATTTTTCTACAAATCATAATTTTAACTCAAATATAGAAAATGATGATAACACTGACGTTTTGAATAGTTCAATTACTATTAACGAAATTTTAATCGCTGTTAAATCTTTAAAGCGTGATAAATCCTGCGGAAACGAGTTTTTGCTGAATGAATATTTTATTGAAACTGTAGATATACTGGCAGCGCATATATGTGATATTTTTAATTGTATTTTTGATAGCGGTTTTTTTCCTGAAAGATGGACTGAAGGGGTTATTGTACCATTGCACAAGAAAGGAGATAAAAACAATGTTAAAAATTATAGAGGCATTACTTTAGTAAGTTGTATGTCGAAATTATTTACGACAATACTAAATAATAGAATTGTTAAATATTGTAATGAGAATAATACCATATCAGATGCGCAGTTTGGATTCAGAAAAGGCTATTCGACAACTGATGCCTTGTTTATTTTGCATAATTTGGTTCAAAAATATTTAAATGAAAATAAAAGATTATATTGTGTTTTTGTTGATTTAAAAATGGCATATGATTGTATATAGAAGTGCATTATGGCTTAAATTGTATAAGCATGGGGTTAACGGTAAAATTTTGAGAATAATTAAAGACATGTATGAAAAAGTAAAATCATGTGTTCGGTCGTGTAATTCGTACTCTGAGTTTTTCAAATATGCTGTTGGTTTAAGACAAGGGGAGGTAATTTCACCAGTATTATTTTCACTATTTGTTGAAGACTTAGAGTTATTTTTGCAAGATGATATAAATTCAGGTGTAAATTTTGATGATATTATTCTTATTCTACTTTTGTTTGCAGATGATATGGTTATTCTTGGGAAGACTCCGGATGAAATTAACACTAATCTTATATTACTTTCTGAGTATTGCAAACTATGGAGTCTTGAAGTCAATGTACAAAAAACCAAAGTTATGGTATTTCGTAAACGTGGGGGACTTAGAAATAATGAGACTTTTGTGTATAATGGGACAATTTTGGAAGTTGTAAATGATTTTAACTATTTAGGAACTGTTTTTAATTATACGGGAAGTTTTGCATTAAATCAACAACAACTGGTCGGTAAAGCTTTGAAATCAATGAATGTTTTATTAGTTAAATGTCAAAAATATAAAATGAAACCTAAAATTCTTTGTCAACTTTTTGATTCTTTTGTCGGATCAGTACTAAATTATTCAAGTGAAATATGGGGGTTTACAAAATCAAAAGAAATCGAAAGAATTCACCTTAAATTTTGTAAGAAAATTCTTTTTGTTAAAATGTCGACTCCTAATGTTGCAGTTTATGGCGAATTGGGACGATATCCTTTGTATATTTCGAGATATATTAGAATATTAAAATTTTGGCTTAAACTTAACAGTACAGATAATATAATTTTGAAAACTGTATATAACATGTCATATAATGATTGTATAAATGGTAAAAAGAATTGGGTCTCAAATGTAAAAAAATTATTGTGTGAAAATGGATATAATTATGTTTTTGATAATCCTCAATTTGTTAAAGAAAAGCCGTTTTTAAGTATTTTTAGACAGCAGTTAATAGATTGTTTCTTGCAAGGTTGGCATAGTAATAAGTCAGGTAGCACAATGTTAAACCTTTATCACCATCTTAAAGAAAAATTTGAATATGAAAGGTATCTTGATCTATTACCTTTTGATTTAAGAACCTATTTAGTAAAACTAAGAGTTTCAGCTCATTCATTACGGGTACAAACAAATAGGTATGGAATTAATAGATTACCCAGAAATGAACGAGTATGTCTTTTCTGTGATACAAGAGACATCGATGACGAATTCCACTTTGTATTTAAATGTCCATGTTTTAATGATATACGACGGTTATATATTGATCGATATTATTATATCAGACCAAACATGCATAAACTTATCGAATTGTTAAATTGCAGGGAAAAAGATACTCTTGTTAAACTTTGTAAATTTAGTAAGATTGCTTTTAATCGTAGAAATAAACAAATGAGTCAAAATATATAATCATAATCATCCTCTTAATAACTCATTGGTTGATATAACATTTGTATTGTTTTATATAGATTGTGTGACTATAATTGTGTTGTGTAAATATGTTATTTATGTGCACGATGTACATGATGTACAAGTGAAATAAATGTTCTGTTCTGTTCTGTTCTGTATTGTGTCTTGGATATTTTAACTGTTGTCAAATGTTCTGGTTTCATCAATTGTTTCAAAAGAAAATTTCAGTGTAACAAATATTGTACATTGTTGAAGTTCAATTGTTACTCATGGTATTGTAATATTATGTTCAAATTATGTTCACATGGAGAGAAGATTGTAAAATTAATGTGTTACAGTAACTGCCCCGAAAAATTTAATTATTTCTTTCACGCAGAATTTGATTATTTCTTTCATGCAGAATTTGATTATTTCTTTCATGCAATGTTTTTGACAAATTTGAAATATGCCTTCGTGTTAAAATAATTGATTTAAAAACCCCAACAGAATCCATGTCATGTTTGGGATATTGTAAATTATTTCTGGTAGACAGACTAATGATGTTTTTGCATCATAAACTGGTCTTTTTTACAGTTTGTGTTTTAATTACTTATTTAGAGACTTATCTCTGAATTTCCTTTTAGGTAGTTTCAGTTGGTATATCCTTTGCTATTATGACTGACGAAAAGGCCCGAGAAGTTGCAATTGCCCTTTCACAAAATCTGAATGCAATTATAAAGGGTGTCAAGCTTTGGCATGGTTGGCGCATAAAAAATGATGATTAAAATAGAATTGACATTGTTAATAAAGTTATAGTATTGTAAAAGGAATTTAAATAGCTTTTATGTTTAAGTTTTTAAGGTCAACAGAGGTTAAGGTCAATGTGGCTTACAGACCAGAAATTAGGACAGGTTTAATATGGAAAGTTTTAATTTTGGGGCATCATGGGGTGTTTTTAGGATTAACCAAGATCTATTTACTTGGAAACTGAAAAGTTGAAGAATTATTCTTGTGATAGTTAAACTTTGCTCATTTCAGGTTTCCACTCGTTTTTTGGGAGTTTTATTTGGGTATTTTTGGCAGTTAAAAGACATTATTTTATTAAGATTGTACAATATAATATTGTATATTTCAGATGTTGTTGTTGTCAAGATTGTTGTAAGAAAGGAGGTATAGATTATGAACTAGATGACAACTGTTGTCAGTGTAACGTGGTTGCCCTGAAGAAGATCAGCGGACTTCCTGATATGGACCTGGTTTATGTTACTTACCATGTAGATGTAAGTTTCTTAACATGCCTTATATCACTCAATAAATAATATAGAGGCATATTCTATCTGAATAACTATTTTTGAATTTAGGTTAAGGGGTTTTATAACAGTAAACAAGTAATAGATTTATTTTGTAACAATGCAATGGCTCTTTTTTCAACAATAGAAAAAAATGGCCATTTTGGTTAACAATCTAATAGGAGTTGATTTCTATAAGTAAATTTCCATTGTGAATGAGATCAGGTACTGCATCAACAAAGGTCGGTAGTCCAAAGCTTTAATAAGCCTAGAACCACACAAATGATTACCATTTGATTTACCACCAAAATTAACCTTACTTATAAAATTAGTAAAAAATATAGTAAATTAGGCAAATATATTATTAAAATCTGCATTCTAACACTATCGGAAATTTTTCTATATAAACAAAGAAGGCCTGAAGCGTGCATTATTCTGCAACAATGCACTCGCCGTTCTTATCATCTCCCTGTGTATTTTCACATTGAGGGCGCCATTTTGTTTGAAAAATCTGATAAATAAAAACAATTTTTTTGTCGAATTTTGTTGTGAAAACTATCTAGAATGATAGAAAATGGTCTAACTAAGAAAATAAATCCGAACACCAATATCTTTAATTCAGTCGTTAACGCTGTACAGACGTTTAAAGTGTTGTTTACGTGACGTCACAATGTAGCGCCAAACAGCACGTGCAAAACAATCAAAATCAAGTACGCTATTTTAACGTCGCAGACGAGTTAAGTTTTACATTTATTTCACTTTTAATAATTTGTATTTCGCTTGGAAAATTATAGACTGAAATAAAATAAACAAACAAAGTTTTATCAACGTTTTCAAAATTCGTTATTCTCAAAATGTTTCTACACACGGTAGATTTAACGACAGTTTTTTTTCAACCCACTGGAACGGCCTTTAAAGAACGTTTCTATTGGAAACTCTGAGGCGAAAACAAATTTAACCGCCAAACATAAAGTCCAACTTTATAATAATAATTATATTTTTTCTTGACGTGTTAGAATGGAAATAGATATTAATTCTTCGTGCATTATTGTATAATAATGCACGTTTTTCGTTCAAATGCTTTGTAATTAATCACTCAGGCCTATCGGCCTTCGTGATTATATTACTACGCATTTGAACTCAAACCGTGCATTATTCTACAACAATGCACTCGGAATTGATATCTATTTCCTAATTAGAAATTTATATAGAAAATAAAATTAATAGATTGAAACTATTTTACTTCTTGTTGTTTAGTCCAACATCTATAAAAAATAAATGAACAGAGCCCTAAAGTTTGATAATCTGACTATTTGTGATCATTTGGTGATCTGATTTTCATAGAACATGACCAATATTACATACTACTTATTACTCGAGACTTATAATTTTCAGATAGGTGAAACTCCATTTTATGTTGCCCTTGACAACAAACATAAGAAGATTGTGATATGTGTGAGAGGAACATTGTCATTACAGGTTAGTTATATGTAAATATATGTAAACTTCAATGCTACCCACCATTATAAACATGTGCAGATGAGAAGTATAGCAAATTTATGGTTTGGTTAACTTTAGAGATTTAGATTTAGCCAATTTTATTCAATGAATTCAATTTAGTTCAATTTTGTAGGAATTTATAAGATAATAGATGCACTCTAAAAACCATTCCTGGAACCAAGCAGTAATAAGCAATGTGTTTAAAGTTTCTTGCTCAAGGAAACAATGGCTTGCCTCTGACAGGGCTTGAACCCATGCAGCCAACAATCTTTAGATTGCTTGTCTGACACATTTACTGCTTGGGATTGACACCTTATAGCCCATTTTAATCACTTATGAAATATGTAATTATTTATAATTTTGATTCTTGTAAAAATATTCTATCAGCATAGATATTCAAAAGACAAAAAGAAGGGAGTAAGTTGTATTATAGTTTTACTTATTGGCGTCCGCGCTGAAGCGCGGCGCCTATTGGAATGAAATGAGATTTTGTGAAAGGGCGACAGCAACTTCTCGAGCCTTTTATAGTTGCCAATAATAAAAGCCGATCATTCCGATCGGTATGAGGGTGCTTGATTATTAATTAGTTGCGATATGTACAATGAATGGCGAACTGGAGAATTTCGCAATGCAAACATTTTCAAATTAAATAACCTTTTCCGTCAATAAATCGCGCTCTTCGGGGTATTTTTGCTTATCATTAAATTTTTGTAGTACACAGTGGGTTATTATGGTATGTTATTCCGAAAGCTGTTAATAGAATGATGAGTTGATGACCTAAATATTCCGAAAATCTATTTATAGAGGGATGTACTCCTATCGGTAATTCCCGGTCTCTCCCGGGATTTACTAATGACTGGCGAATAGTACCACACGTTTATTGTCCGGTCTCTCCCGGTTTTGGAGTAGATGTTTGATATCGTTACAGAACAGAACAAATATTTTACAGATAAATAAGCTTTTTTCAAAATGAATGTTTTGTCACTTAGTTTGGTTACAATAATTAATAAACACAGATCAACTCTCGAATTGATTGATTATTATTATACATAAACATACAATTCGAAAAAAAAACCAACAACACAAATCGCATGTTATATTTTATCTATATGAGATAAAAACAATAAATATGTACAATAATTGAGAAAAAATGTACATTTTTATGGCATTAATATGACACTATCAACTTTAAAACATTTTATTTAATTTGTTATTCGTGTTTAGTAAAGATTCCGAGGAATTATTCAAAGTTACAAATCAGATTTTATGAATTATTCAATTGATTGATAATTTAAAAATGATAAAGAAAAATACAAATGTACATGTATATGGTTTAAGAATAAACAATATTATATATTGAAAGATTAACCATGATTTACTGACTTTTTCCAGTTAAGTTTTGACTTATAATCGTCGATCATTATGACAATTGAATTCTTAAAATAGTAGTACACGTAAAAACTCGGTATTAAAATAGCGCATAACACACAAAAAAAGAAAAGAAAACAATATTCATAAAATCTGTATTTTTTTTTATTAAAATAGAAATTACATTTATTGTATAATAAACAATTATGCTCAACATGATCAACATGGTAATATAACAAGTGTCATATTGTTACTTAGTGTGAACAGATACCTTAAGAGGGGGTCCTCGCTAATAGCGATAACATAATAAGGGACAATTACACAAGTATGGTGTTGATCATGCGTTACACATATGGATTATAAATGATTGTATACATGTTTATGTATATGATATGTTTCATTTAAGGTCTTTGCACCTCCAATAATTTATTGTGATGAAGATATCTACAGACTCATCAATCTCAGTTAATAATATAAGATGCAAGAATAGACACAGCTAGAGGGTAATTGTTCAAGTTTGTAATGTGGTTCTACTGAGTGTCTGGGACAAAGTTAACTCAAAGACATATAAATAGCTTTGCCCTTGTCAATCTGTTGACTGTAGACTGAGACTGACAAAACATTGGGGGCATACATGTCCTACAATTGTTCTTATAGTAGCACATGAATTTACAACTTCATTTATAACTGCTGAATGATATCATAAGCATGCATCTTAATCATAAAAGCATGGAATGATGAGATTTTAAAGCACATAACATGTTTCTTATGGGCCATGTAAGATAAGATTTCTTAGCACTGGTGAAAAGGAAATTCCAATTTGACATGTATGAATATCTTATCAATGTCTCAATGATGAAGAAAATGTATGTTATCATGCAATTGTATGTCTATATAAAGAAACACATCTATGGTATAAGAATATGTGAGGCGGCCTTTTTAAACATACAAGTCTAAAGGACAAAATAAACCCAAATAAAAAGTAAGCCTATTTAAACAAGTTAGCCCATGTAACAAAGTAACTCTATTTCAACAAGTAAGCATTGTGTAAACAATTAAGTTTATATAATAATGTGTATATTGTAGGATGTTCTAACAGACTTAAAAGCTGATGCTGAACCTTTACCATTAGATCCAACCAAAGAGGACTGGCTCGGTCATAAGGTAGGAACCGTTTTCATGTTCTGTTTTCAACTTTCTGCATTATATAAATTGTGTTAAGAAGTTATCATTATGATAAGGTAAACAAGTCAATTTTTTGCAGTGCACTGTGGTGAAAGTTTTGTTAACAATCAGTGCTATTTGATGCACCTCTGTGTTATACTAACTTGGTAAAAAGCAGTGTCATATAGTTTGTATTATATAGATAAATAAAACATTAAACAGACCATTCTTTACAGAGTTCCACTGTTTATCAATAATATAAATACTGATTATTTATGTGTAAATGTTTGTTTATTCTCTATATTATTTTTTTGTGAATTAGTTTGACTATAAAAAATGTATTTGATACAATACCATATAATGTATGCACTGATATTTTGATACATATTGTCTTTAAATGAACGGACTGTGTTTATTTGACTGGAAAAGGAACTAATTCATTTTGATGCAGGGAAAAAAAATGTTAAGACTGGTCTTTTTGAATTGCATGTATTTGATTTTAATTAAGATACCATGAATTACAGTTAAATCCTGTGGATTAAATGTTGAGGATTGAATAAACCAAGAAATCATTTAAATTCCCCAAAAAAACTTGAAATTGATTAAGCGTAGAAACATTTATTTTTTTTAGAAATTAAAATGCTTCTTTGTGGTAATTAGCTGCGATATCAGCTGTGCTTAGAAATGATTTGAGTGTCTTATATTTTAGATATTATGTATAAAGGGATAGCATTATGCAGTATGCATATCTATGAAAGGTAATTTTACTTAAGAAAGTTTGCTGACTTAGAACAGCAGGATTCCAATGCTTTCTTAAGCATATTTAATAAAAGGTAGAATGAAATAAAGTTCTTTTTTCTTCTTAATACTTTCAGGGTATGGTTCAAGCTGCAATTTATATAAAGAAAAAATTAAAAGAAGATCTCATACTTGCAAAGGCATTTCAGAAAGCCAAGGTAGGTTTTATTATGTGCTGTTTTGTTACTTCAGTTAAGGACATGTTTACAAAACAAATGGTTCTCAAACAAAAGTTATATAAAGTAAGATTGTTATTTATATATGCTTGTATGTTGAAACAGTACCATCAATAAATATTAACCTAATTAGATAGAGTTATTGCTGGTAATTGATAAGCATTGGAGCCTATTCTGATATATATTTGTATGATATTTATGGAGTTCAGCAGCCCCAGGTGCTTATGTAAAGGGCAAGTTTTCTGATGGGAATATCTCCTCATTAAAAAAATATCTAATTTGTCTACAGATAATTACCAAAGTTGAAAAAGTGGCCTTTCTTTTTTTTTTCTTTTTTTTTTATAAAGACAGAGTTTATGTTTAATTTTATGAAAAGAATGTCAGTGTGGATCTCTAACTATTGTTGCTGTTTTGATTGTACATTTTATTGTAGGTTTTTTTGCTTTAGCAGTATAACACATTGAGACATATTAAAATTTTGTGGAGGATATTCAAGTTTTTTTCTATAAATACAGGATTTATTTTCATTCATTGGTATGAAAAAATAAATATTTCACAAGGGGCGATACCACAAGATAAAATAAGTCTGGTATTTTAAGAAAAAACTTGAATTTTCTGTTGATTATATACTTTTTCCCAACTTTTTTCTCTTTTTTTGACCTGATGGTTCATAAGACTTCCCTTTTAAATTTGTTCATAATCTGAATAGAGAAAGAAAGTAGTCTTGACACTGCTGTGAAACATAAATTTTTACTTTGAAACAAAAACAGAAAATGAGAAGACACAATTTATTCATCAATATTTCTCAATATTTCATTTATAAGTAAATAATAAATGAATTTATTCTCTCTTTCATGTTTACCAGTCATAACTTAAAATGAAATCAAATCAATCAACTTGTAACATTATTAGCATAACTAACAATATTAATAAAAGAAAAAAAAAAACACTTTATGTTCAAACATCTTCTGACCAGAGATAATGCTATTCCAGTAACAAGGGATCAAGATTTCATCATATTGATATGTATATAACAAAATTGATGCAATCATGCCACTGTCTATGGTCTGTAAACAATAAATTCTAATTGAAATACAATATAAAGATTAAGATGATGACATTGCCATTTTGTCACTGTATGGGTATATTTTCAGGATGTATCGCAGGAGAAGTATGACCTTGTATTAGTTGGTCACTCCCTGGGAGCAGGTACAGCAGCTATTCTAGCCATCATGTTACAACAGGAATATCAGGACATACAGTGCTACGCCTACTCCCCACCTGGTGGTTTACTCAGGTAACTCTTATAAATAAAGGGTTAATATACCTACTCCCCACCTGGAGGTTTACTCAGGTAACTCTTATTGATAAGAGTGTGAATATACATTTTTTTAGTGCATTAACATCTCCAGAAGTACATGGACACATTTAAAGCCCGAACTTTTGATAAATCTGGTGGCTTCACCAGATGTAATTGCCTGAAAAAAATGTGGATTGATGCTATTCTTGCATAAAAGTATAGTCTGATTAGGTAAATTAGCTTTTATTTGTTTTTAGCTCACCCTGAGCATATGCTCAGGGTGAGTTATTAGGATCACTCTTCGTCCTTTGTCTGTCGTCCGTCGTACTTCGTCCGTTGTCCGTTCACACTTTTAAAACGACATCTCCTCTGAAACCATAAGGCAGATCATAATGAAACTTCACAGGGATGTTCCTTGTGTGAAGCCTTAACAAAGTTGTTCAAAGAATTTAATTCCATGCAGAACTCTGGTTGCCATGGCAACCGAAAGAAAAAACTTTAAATATCTTCTTTTAGAAAACCCTAAGAGCTAGAGCTTAGATATTTGACATGAAACATCTTCTAGTGAGTGTCTACCAAGTTTGTTCAAATAAAAGCCCTGGGGTCAAAATTGGCCCCGCCCCAGGGGATCATTGATTTTCCCTATATGCATATAGTAAAAACTTAAAAAATCTTCTTTTAAAGAACTCAAAGAGCTAGAGCTAAGATATTTAGCATGAAACATGTTCTAATGGGTGTCTATCAAGTTTGTTCAAATAAAAGCCCTGGGGTCAAAATTGGCCCCGCCCCAGGGGTCATTGATTTTCCTTATATGTGTATAGCAAAAACTTAAAAAATCTTCTTTGAAAAAACCCAAATAGCTAGAGTTTAGATATTAGGCATGAAACATCTTCTAGTGAGTGTCTACAAAGTTTGTTCAAATAAAAGCCCTGGGGTCATAATAAGCCCCGCCCCGGGGGTGTCATTGTTTTTAACTATATGTGTATAGTAAAAACTTAAAAATCTTCTTTTAAAAAACCCAATGAGTTAGAGCTAAGATATTTAGCATGAAACATCTTCTTATGGGTGTCTACCAAGTTTGTTCAAATAAAAACCCTTCGGTTAAAATTGGCCCTGCCGATGGGGGGGGGGGGGGGGGGGGAGATCGTTGTTTTTTGTGTCGCGTCTACGGAGTAGTGGCGACATATAGGGATCACTTCTCCCTCGTCTGTCTGTCCGTCTGTCTGTCTGTCTGTCTGTCTGTCCGTGCGTCCGTCACAAAACTTGTCCGGACTACTCCTCATAAACTACTGGTGCAATTTCATCCAAACTTTACAGGAATGATCAGTACCAAGTCTAGTTGTGCATATTGTCAGCATTTTCCGGTTCAATGATTTTTGTCAGAGTTATGGCCCTTTAATAATTTTTAATTTTAAAGTTTGTCCGGACTACTTCTCTTATACCACTAATGCAATTTCAATGAAACTTTACAGGATTGATCTGTAGCTCAAGTCCTTGCGCATATTGCACGGGTTTTCCGGTTGAATGATTTTTGGCCGAGTTATGGCCCTTTGATAAAAAGGTTTCTTTTTCTGTGTGTTGCCAGATACGCAAAAGCTTGTCCGGACTACTACTCATAAACTACTGGTGCAATTCCATCCAAACTTTACAGGAATGATCAGTACCAAGTCTAGTTGTGCATATTGTCAGCATTTTCCGGTTCAATGATTTTTGTCAGAGTTATGGCCCTTTAATAATTTTTATTTTTAAAGTTTGTCCGAACTACTTCTCTTATACCACTCATGCAATTTCAATGAAACTTTACAGGATTGATCTGTAGCTCAAGTCCTTGCGCATATTGCACGGGTTTTCCGGTTGAATGATTTTTGGCCGAGTTATGGCCCTTTGATAAAAAGGTGTTTTTTTCTGTGTGTTGCCAGATACGCAAAAGCTTGTCCGGACTACTACTCATAAACTACTGGTGCAATTTTATCCAAACTTTACAGGAATGATCAGTACCAAGTCTAGTTGTGCACTGTCCGTCTGTCTGTCTGTCTGTCACAAAATTTGTCCCAACATGAAATTTGCCTTCATGAGGCGACACATGTGATTACTGATCGCTCTTGTCATTATATGTGTGTAGTAAAAAACTTAACATTGTGAAACATCTTCTAATGGGTGACTCTTCCGAGTCTGTTCAAATAAAAGCCCTGGGGTTTAAACTGGCCCAGCTCCGGGGGCCTATATACAGGTGAGCGACCTCAGGGCCACAATGACATTTGCTTGAGTGATTTTATCTGTAAATGCATGTTTTCTTCTCGATTAATGTATTCATACATGCAGAATATTTAAAACTATTAATTAATATTTAAAACAATTAAAAAAGAAGGAATGAAAAACATTAAAAAGTTTCTTTCAGCAGATATGATTATTTTAATGCTTTTCTACACACTGTAGTGTTTACTAATTTGATAGTATTATGTGAATAATTTTGAACTAACTAAAGTACTTATTACTTCATATCAGTGAGGATTTACTTAACTTCTGTAATTGTTACAGTACCCCAATATCAAGTTTGAATAGAAAAACTTAATTTCTAATGGGTTTAACTTTCGTTGCATGTAATTAAGTGTTATCTTTTACTTAATTATGTAACTGTAGTTACCATAATTTCATATTTAATGCTACATTACATGAAGTACCTTTATTTCACAATACTAGTAATAATAATTGTAGAGCTGTGCATCGAGACAATTCTATATATGCTATGATATTCTGTAACTTTATGATTTGATTTACAGTTGCTTAACTTGGAAACTTTTCTTGACGTCATTTCATTTAATATCTTTAAAATTGTTATTTCTTAAACAAAGAGACTTGTTGGCAATAAAACATGGAAATGTGACTCTTTTAGACATGAAATTGAAATTTTCATGAACATAACTTTATGCTCTTAAAGTAATAAAACAGGGAAGTGCTCATAATGCAGACAGTTTTCTTGACTACATTTCTCAGGAAATGTCTGAATTTTGAAGGTTATGCAATTAGAATGTTGATGATGTTGTTAAATTATATGTCTCTGTGGTTTCCATGGTAACTGATGAATTGTTTGTGGTTATTTTTCAGCTCAGAATGTGTGGAAGCAACCAAGTCTTTTATAACATCAGTTGTAATTGCTAAAGATGTTGTACCAAGGTATTTTACACTTCTTATTCTGATTAAATTGTCATATTATATGCAAAATTCTTTATTTTACATGTACATTATAGTTATAGAATGTGAAGAGATGTAAACCATTAATAACAGTACATGTATACAAATTTAGAAAGACAATGAAACGAGCTGCGAAATGACAAAACCAACATAATGCGTTTGTGACCAGCATGGATCCAGAACAGCCTGCGCAGGATGTGCAGGCTGGTCTGGATCTATGCTGGTCGCAAACGCATTACGTTGGTTTTGTCATGGCGCGGCTCAAATAGTAAAAATAAGATCCATACAGGTCAACAAACATCATAAAATTGAAAATGAGGCAGGGCTTGATTATCATACATGGTAATGTTTGTGTCCCTTAATATAAAACCAGACTTTAGCAACATTGAACATTTAAGGAATTTAAATTAACAAATGTAAATATGTTCATACATTGGTAAACCTAGATGTATATCAAAGACTTTGTCAATATTGTTGAGTAAGGCATCTATGAACTATGATCTATCATTTGGAAAACAACAATTTTGCTTTCCACAGTGAGTCATACACATCTATGTATTGAGTTATGCAAGCATCTCTTTGCTTGTCCTGAAACAATTTTCTAAGTTGATCTTTAATGATTATTATTCCTTTAATCACGAAAAATGTAAAACTAGGAAGATGGGTAATTAACAATATTATTTCACTGTCTGTAGCCATTATGCAATCAGACTGATTGTTTTAATGGAAATTTATGTAAATACAAATACATTTGGTAAACACCAGACAATTTATTGATGATGTAATTGAAAGTAAATTCTAACTTCATGTGCTACTGGGTGTTTATCTGTAAGGTACAGTAATTAAAATCCATCTTCAACCCTCCTACACTGTTTCTATTTCTGTATTCTTGTAGTTATTGTGACGCATTTTAGAATGGTTGTCTGGGCATTAATTCATTCCCCTTGTAAATTCTGTGTAGCAAGACATCTAATTTAAGCACTACTTTAATTCTTAATTATGAAATTGGCCTGTGTCATTTGTATACAACCTGCCAGGCCAGCCTGAACCTTCCTTGCAGTTTGGCCAGACTCTATAACATTGACTGATTAATATTTAAACATTGTGATATTGAGTGTTTAGATTTTAGTGTCTCCTTGTTATATAGGTGATGATGTCACATCCTGCAATATAGTGAAGACTGCTTCACTAAATTATTTTGCAGTAGACACATTAAGATTAAACATTGATGTTTAACATTAACATCAAATGTTGCTCTGGTCACATCATATTGTCATCAAGGGACCTGTCCTAGAACTGTTCCCTTATTGCCTAAATGCTGAACTCAAGGTAGACATTGGTTCATATCGTTACAATGGTCTCTACTATAACTTTACCTGAAATCTAATCTTTGACCCCTCCAGCAACCAACAACTGAAGCAACTGCTCTTGTTTTTTTTTTTTTTTTTGTTTTTTTGTAATCCCTTAAATTGGAAAGACTGTTCCAAAAACAAAAATTATAATGAATGAACTTTGCAAAATTAAGATAATTCATGAATTTTCCCAAATATATATATTTTATATTAGTCGAGGGTTATCATTAAAATTAATGATAATCATAAATAGTAAACAATGTATATGATTAATTTCAGGAAGTTATTTTTAGAAACCAGAGTCTTTAAATCTGACTTTATAAAAAACTATTTAAAAAAAAAACACCTTAAGTCGACAGAAAAATCATTGCCTGGTTTTGCCTCAGAAACAACATTTGTCAGCTAGTGAATTTATTGTGAAAATGTAGCTTTCATAAATTTGTTATTTATCAGGACATTTTAGGACCATTATATTTGATAATTTATATCTGTAGACATTTCTATGATTTAATAATGTGCATTGAGACATTATTGAGAAGTCTATGATGTTTTGTTATTGAAAATAGAATATTTTATGAATGTCATCAATTTCAGTTGAGACAACCATAATGATTGTCAGTATTTTTAAATGATTTTTATTTATAAAAAATTCCACATAAATTTCCCCTCACCGCTGTTGGTTTGAATTCCAATAGGGACTTTTGATTCTTTCATGTAAGGAGCTGGATAGCTGAGAGAATGTTGGTTTTTCTACTCGGGTGCCAGTTTGTGCCTGAAATAATGCACTTAAGGGCACCTGAGGTCTTCCTCCACCAGTAAAGCTGGAACATCGCCATATGACCTATACTGTGTTGATGCGATGTAAAACCCAGCCCCTCTAAAAAATCAAACATATGGAAAAGATCTTAGTCTTGTTATGGGAGATAAATGTAGGGAAAACTCTCAGAGCACTATCTAAACATGCTCATTAACAAAATATTTAAGGCATTTACAAATCTATGTTGCTATAATGTTTAGAGTTTATAGTGAAATCACTAATCAGTATTGTTGTTGTTGTACTATTTATGTTTTATGCATGGTTTCAGGATTGGCTTACATCAAATGGAATTATTAAGAACTGATCTGATCAATATTATCAAGAAAAGTAAAAACCCCAAGGTACTGTATGACAAGTTTCTACAAACACTAGACACAAACATTTCCCCTTTCACTAATATGATTTGTGTTGTTAATTTAATTTGAGCCACGTCACGACAAAACCAACATAATGCGTTTGCGACCAGCATGAATCCAGACCAGCCTGCGCATCCGCGCAGTCTGATTAGGATCCATGCTGTTCGCTGTCAGTTTCTCCACTTGTAATAGAGTTGGTAAGCGAACAGCATGGATCCTGATCAGACTGCGCGGATGCGCAGGCTGGTCTGGATCCATGCTGGTCTCAAACCCATTATGTTGGTTTTGTCATGACGCGGCTAATCTGTTGAAGTTAGATGAGAAGTTATGCCTTGTTTAATGATTCATGTGTCTCTCATGTTTTCCTCTAGTTTTATTATATAGCAACCAGAACTAACAGAATATCTGTACAATAGTCTGATTGAGACAGATTTCTGATGAAGTTTGTTGCATGTATTTCTGTTACTGCTACTAGATATGCTGTATGAATTATTGATGAAGTATTTTAGTTCACACAAGTATTCTATGTTAGTATGCTAACATGTATTAGTTCTACAACTTCTTGTTATATAGCTGTCAGTCTGGTATATCTAGGGCTTTATTTAAATACAGTCACAAAGTGTACATTATCTTGCAATGAAATTACAAAATGTAGTTTGCATTCCAGATGTTGTTTTTGTATTTTATTAACTCAGAAATATTCATTTTACCTTCAATAGTATCATTTATTTGTTTGTTTGTTTGTTTCATTTTACGCCTTTTCCCAACTAAACAGTATTTCAGTTATATAGGCGGGTAGTTTCCCAGTACCATTTAAAGGTTGAATTTGAATAAACAGTGCCCAGGATATTTCACATACACTAAGTATCAAATGTGGAAAATTACCTTTTACTAGATAATTTATCTATGCCAGGTTTCTGGATTTTAAGTTAAGTTAAATTCCTTTATCTTGCATGTTTCATCTAATTAAAAATATAATGAATTTCATACCGTAGTTGTTTTCTGTTACTTTTGTACTTTTTAGCTCACCTGAGCAATGCTCAGGGTGAGCTATTGTGATGGCCCTGTGTCCGTCGTCGTGCGTCGTCAACTTTTGAACATTAACAACATCTCCTCTGAAACCAATGACTGCACATCAACCAAACTTTACAGAAATGATCCTTGGGTGGTCCCCTTTCAAAGTTGTTCAAATGGTTCCAATCTGTTGCATATGTAGGTCATAGGGCCAGAAAAGAATTTCAAAAAACACAAAATTAAAAAATCTTCTTGTCTGAAAGTACATGGGCCAGAGCTTTTGATTTTTGGTATATGGTATCATCTATGGGTCCTCTACCAAAGTTGTTCAAATTTTGTCCCTAGTGTCAAAATTGGCCCCGCCCGGGGGGTCATAGGTTTTTCCTTATATGGGTAAAATCTAAAAAAATCTTCTTCTCTGATTTGGCAAAGGCTACAGATTAGATATTTGGCATGAAAAAACAATGGTATAGACCTCTAAAGGTCCAAGATTGTTCAAATAATGGCCCTCTGGTCAAAATTGGCCCCAGCCCGGGTGGTCATGTTTTCATTACATAATATAGTGGGCAAAACTTGAAAAATCTTCTGGTCTGAAAGGTGTGGCCTAGAGCTTTGATATTTGGTCTATGGTATCATCTGAAGGTCCAATACCAAAGTTGTACAAATTTTGTCCCTTAGTGTCAAAATTGGCCCCACCCCGGGGGTCATAGGTTTTTCTAATATGTATATAGTAAAACATAAAAAAATCTTCTTCTCTGAATTGGTAAAGGCTACAGGTAAGATATTTGGCATGAAACATTGTGTGGTAGACCTCTACCAAGATTGTTCAAATAATGGCCCTCTGGTCAAAATGGCCCAACCCTCGGGGGTCATTGATTTTCATTATATACATATAGTGAAAAACTTTGAAAAAATCTTCTGGTCTGAAAGTAAATGGCCTAGAGCTTTTGATATTTGGTCTATGGTATCATCTGAAGGTCCAATACCAAAGTTGTACAAAATTTTATCCCTAGTGTCAAAATTGGCCCCACCCCGGGGGTCATAGGTTTTTCTAATATGTATATAGTAACAACATAAAATAATCTTCTTCTCTGAATTGGAAAAGGCTACAGGTAAGATATTTGGCATGAAACATTGTGTGGTAGACTGTACCAAGATTGTTCAAATAATGGCCCTCTGGTCAAAATTGGCCCCGCCCTCGGGGGGGGTCATTGATTTTCATTATATACATATAGTGAAAACTTGAAAAATCTTCTGGTCTGAAAGTAAATGGCCTAGAGCTTTGATATTTTGGTCTATGGTATCATCTATAGGTCCAAAACCAAAGTTGTTCAAATTTGTTCCTAGAATTAAAATCGGCCCGCCCTGGGGGGGTCATAGGTTTTTCCTTATATGTATATTGTAAAACCTAAAAAAAATCTACTTCTCTGAATTTGTAAAGGCTACAGGTTAGATATTTTGCATGAAACAATGTAAAATTGTCCTCTACCAAGATTGATCAAATAATGGCCCTCGGGTCAAAATTGGCCCTGCCCCGGGGGGGTCATTGATTTTCATTATATACATATAGTGAAAACTTGAAAAATCTTCTTTTAAAGAACCCAAAGAGCTAGAGCTAAGATATTTAGCATGAAACATCTTCTAATGGGTGTCTACCAAGTTTGTTCAAATTAAAGCCCTTGGGTCAAAATTGGCCCCGCCCCAGGGGGTCATTGATTTTTCCTATATGCATATAGTAAAAACTTAAAAATCTTCTTTTAAAGAACCCAAAGAGCTAGAGCTAAGATATTTAGCATGAAACATGTTCTAAAGGATGTCTACCAAGTTTGTTCAAATAAGAGCCCTGGGGTCAAAATTGGCCCCGCCCCAGGGGGTCATTGATTTTCCCTATATGAATTTAGTAAAAACTTAAAAATCTTCTTTTAAAGAACCCAAAGAGCTAGAGCTAAGATATTTAGCATGAAACATGTTCTAATGGATGTCTACCAAGTTTGTTCAACTAAGAGCCCTGGGGTCAAAATTGGCCCCGCCCCGGGGGACATTGATTTTCCTTATATGTGTATAGCAAAACTTAAAAATCTTCTTGGAAATAACCCGAATAGCTAGAGTTTAGATATTAAGCATGAAACATCTTCTAGTAAGTGTCTACAAAGATTGTTCAAATAAAAGCCCTGGGGTCAAAACTGGCCCTGCTCCAGGAGTGTCATTGTTTTGAAATACTAGTATATGTGTAAAGAAAAAATTTAAAAAATCTTTTTTTAAAAAACCCAACAAGCTAGACCTTAGATGTTTAGCATGAAACATCTTCTAATGGGTGTCTACCAAGTTTATTCAAATAAAAGCCCTGGGGTTTAAACTTGCCCCGCTCCGGGGGGCCTATATACAGGTGAGCGACTTCAGGGCCATCATGGCCCTCTTGTTTTGGTTACTATTTCGTTTGTCCTGAAAATGTTTGCCAAAATACACAAACATGGTAGTTTTAGATGAAAGTTATAAAGATATCAAAATATATAAACTGCATCAAGTAAAATAAACAAAACTGCACATCATTTGATAGTGATCTTTATGCACTAGACTAGAATATAAAAGTGAATATACTCATTCAAACTATATTTAACATTATTTTTCTTTGGTTTATAAATTTATATTGAACAACATATGGCAGATCCTTTTTGAGATACAAAATTTAATTTGATAGTCTGTATACTTTTCCATTTTTTTGAGAACAACAATTATTGTCTAACCAGCATTCCAATATTTGAAGTAATTACTTTACCCAGATGCAACACAAAATTTTTCCTGGAAATAAAAAAAACCTGGGATATTATTTACATTGTCTTGCTAAAAGTATGGGAAAGATAGATTTGATTTCTAAGTTAATATTTATGGTGTCTGGCTCAAGCCTCACAAAGAGAATTGTGTTACTTCCTAAAGGTCCTTTTACCAGTATCATATAAATTAAGTCTTGCACATTCGTTCTACAGGGAATATATTCCTCAGACTACTGTCACCTTCAATTTACTTGTCAAGAAACCATTTTAATTCTACAAGTTTAACATTTGAGCCGCGTCATGACAAAACCAACATAATGGGTTTGCAATCAGCATGGATCCAGACCAGCCTGCACATCTGCCCAGTCTGATCAGGATCCATGCTGTTCGCTTACAAACCCTATAACAAGTAGAAAAACTGATAGCCAAAAGCATGGATCCTGATCAGACTGCGCGGATGCGCAGGCTGGTCTGGATCCATGCTGGTCGCAAACCCATTATGTTGGTTTTGTCATGACGCGGCTCATTTAACTATATCTTGTGAGATATAGACATTTTTTTAACCTGAGACTCTATTGTTCAGCTCATTCATTACATTGTCCATCACAAGTTAACCGGATGTATTATCTATTCCCAGCCTCCACTATGACATTAAACATTTTATTCAATTTCTTCTTATGCACCTGTGACTTAAGAAAAAGCCTAGATTTTTTTGTCGCCTGCTACATATATAGAAAAGCTGTTATTGCTACAGCCTTAAATTACATTGAAGGGATTACGATCAGGTCGAGATTTTTGTGTCACCTGCTACTTACATAGAAAAGTTATTATTGCTACAGCCCTTAAATTACAGTATGAAGAGATATTATGTTATGTAATTGTTGTATTTGTGTTTTCAGTGGAAGATAATATTCAAGGCATTATGTTGTGGGACAGAGTCTGCCTCTCAGTTGACATATGATGATATAAAGGAGGATTTTGAGAGGAATGTAACGAAACATCCATCAGATGAGCTTATTGGTCTTACAGCACATAAACCCATGTTTCCACCTGGTAAAATCATCCTGGTTGTGAGAAAACATTCTGGAGAGAAAAAGTAATTTTATTTGTATTTTATGATAACTTTGTATTTATATGAAGTCCATGGTTGATACATAGATATAAGGTTTAAAACTTTTTGAAAATATTATGTTTGTTTCTACAATTTATTTATTTGTCTCGAAACAAATACATCTTTCATATTTCATGGGCATTTAATCACTTCCACCCATGAACAGACTCAAATAGAACATTCAACATTTTCAGTTTCGTTTTGCCATTTTGGGAATTCTTTAGGGATTCCAGATTTTAAAATTTCAAAATTAGTACTAACCTATTTATTTTCGGAAAATAATATATATGATAGAGTATTTAAAGCAAGTTTTTGTGACATTTGTAGGTGAGTTATGTTTTCATTTACAGGGTATGTGGACAAGTGGAGCCTGTGTATCAAGCTATATGGGCAGATAACTCTGACTTTCAGGAGGTGTTGGTGTCACCTACCATGGTTAATGATCATATGCCAGACAATGTACTAGAAGCTCTAGAAAAGGTAAATACATCAATCAAACTTTATCTTATCATAATAATAAACATGTTTTCATTTTATTATTGCTCCATATTAATTTACTTATGTGGCCAAGCCTTGTTTAGATCCATTCTGATAAATAAGAAACATCTGTATTTTCTGAAAGATTAGAAATTTTTGTTAATTTTTAATTTTCTCAAGAACATATATGTTCACAATAAGATTTGTGTTCTTACTTTTTTTTCATTGACAATAGGTAGAAGGTAATGTTTATTTTAACATGGTGGTAGGCTCACTAACATACTTATATTTATATATTGTACTTTATAATGGCTGAAGAGTGTTGGCAATTAATGCTATATAACATTATTTATGTCCATAACCTTTTGTATATAATATAAACATTTATTATATACTTCTAATGAAATATTGAGAAATATTCATGAAATAAAGATGTGTATTTTCACTGTAAAAAATATTTTTCAGTGCAGTTAAACATATTTTACGTATTTTCATTAGTGTCTTGCCGTACTATTTTGTTCTAAATTCTGCCAGTACACAAAATTAAACGAAAATTCTTTCAAATGGTAATGTCAAAATAAAAAAAAAAGTGTATTTAATAAATAGAAAATTCAAGGTTTTTTTCTATAAATACAGGATATATTTTCATCTTGTGGTATGAAAATTATCATATTTCACTTGTGGCACTCATGAAATATTTATTTTCATACCACTTGATGAAAATAAATTCTGTATTTAGAGAAAAAACTTGAATATCCTCTATGTATACATACTGCAAGCAAATTAATATGTTATTTACCATTATTTACCATTTTGATAGAAGTAAATTGATTTACTATCTATAGCTATTTTAGTACTTTAATATTTTGTGTAATGGATTTTAAATGAACACAAGCAGTTTTGAAAGTCTTAGAGTTGAAAAGTAGTGAAAATTTCTGCTTAATATTAGATTTAGAAAGTTGATATATAAACAAATTCAAATATGCAGCTTCTGTTGAGAACCTTTTTGTTCCTTCTCAAGTTTTTATGCTGCCTTATAGTTTTTGATAGAGCAAATATTTGCCTGTCATTCAATAACATGTATTTACTATGATGTACTTTTCTTGGACCATTACTTTGTTGGGATTTCAGGTTGACCGAGTCCAAATTTTCTTACATTTTAAATCATTTTCTTATAGTCAAACATGCTTCAACTTTGCCAAAGCAACTTTTAGGAACATCAGTCTGTGGTACTGAAAAAACGCAATTTTTGCATTATTCTTATTTTATGTACCATACTCTGTCAATCACTGCTATTAATATATTAATTATGATAAATTTATGTGATTTAGAAATTAAATATGTATCTAATTTATCTGTAGTTACGCTTTGAAATTTATTGTTTATGATAGCTTTGAACATTGTTAATTTACTTGATTATGTTCATGGTTCCAGAGTTCTTTTTCCCCAATTTTTGTTGTTATTTAATTTTTCCAGTTTATGGATAGGTGTATATACCATTTATTCATTATCTATTCTTTGTACAAAATCTTTTGTTCATCTGAACTTCCGTTCCAAGATGTGACAGTACCTTCTGTTAGGTCATAGGTCGCAAACAATCTGTACTATAAATCTGTCTTTCATTTTAGACATTTTGAAATAAGGTGATGAAAAGTTACTTTTTACTCTTTTTGTACTTTAATCGAAGCATTTATGTACAGGTCATGCTGTAAAGTAAAAGGTAGAATTTGATTTTTGTGGTCAGTTGAAACTAATTATATCATTATGTTTTTAGAATCACCAAGTGACCTTTAATATATGATAATGACTATTTTTATGCCCCCGCCATGTAATGGCCGGGGCATATAGTGTTACCCTGTTCCGTCATTCCGTCCTTCCGTCCTTCCATCCTTCCGTCATTCTGTCATTCCGTCATCATCAGTTTCCGTTCATTATCTTAAGAACGGTTGCACACATTCAACTCAAATTTTACATATGGATATGTCATGAGAAAATACAGGTCAAGTTCGAATTTGGTCATGGTTCGATGATTTTTGGCAGAGTTATGCCCCTTTTACTTTGAAAATAATATGAAATTTTCAGTTTCCGTTCATTATCTCCCCAACGGTACAACACATTCAACTCAAACTTGACATATGGATATGTCATGAGAAAATACAGGTCAAGTTCGAATTTGGTCATGGTTGGATGACTTTTAGCAGAGTTAAGCCCCTTTTACTTTGAAAATAATATGTAATTTTCAGTTTCCGTTCATTATCTCCCCAACGGTATTACACTTTCAACTCTAATTTGACATGTGGATACGTCAAAAGAATGCGCAGGTAAAGTTCGAATTTGGTCATGGTTCAATGATTTTTGGCAGAGTTATGCCCCTACCCAACAGTGTTACATATTCAACTCTAATTTGACATATAGATAATGTCAAAGGAATGGGCAGGACAAGTTGGAATTTGGTCATGGTTTGATGATTTTTTGGCAGAGTTATGTCCCTTTCACTTTGAAAATAATATAGATAATCTTAGGAAAAAGCAGTTTAAGTTTGAATTTGGTCGTGGTTCAATGATTTTAGACAAACTTATTTTTCCTGAATGTTGGAAAAATTTTGAACTTTCAGTTTCAGCACTCATACTTTTAGCCATTATTTTGGCTACAAATATGCAATATGCTATTTTTAAAAGGTTAAGACTGAATAATTTCAGTGCCTTGAACATTGTATGAAAATGGTTTTTGTTAACATTAAAAAGTTTTAAGGGCTTTTGAACTTAAAATGAAAAAAATAATTAATGCACCATCTGAAATTTTGGCTGCATGCGGGGGCATCCGTGGCATGATGACACATTTCTAGTTATTTTATAATGTTTATTTATGTCTATAAAACAGGCTATATTACAAACTCTTCATTGATATATAACTTGTATTGAGTAGAGCTTTACAGAGAACTGGAGATAATTGATGACATTAAAATTCTAATAATATAATTACAACATTGCAGGTGCTAGTGAATGTAGCTCCTCCCAAACCAACACGCTTATTGTCGGAGCCGGAGAGGACAGCCATGTTGAAACACGATACGTCCCCTGGAACCCCCGTCACTCCTTCGATTCAACCAGTGACGGAGCTTGGGGATCCACCGACTGTTCATATAGTGTGTGAGAAACAAAAACAGCTGGGTAATGTGCCTGTAGATGTTTATATAAATTCAAACAATGTAGGTTGGGACACTGCTACTGAGGAATTGTTACTTAGCCTGGATAAACAGCATTTATTCTCATTTGGACACAGTCCTAGACTAGAACTGTTAGACTTGGATGCTGAGCTAATACAAGCACCATTAGCTAGTCCCGAGGCTTTGTCTGCTGCATCAAGTATAAGTGCTCTCAGTAGAACTGGTTCAATACCAAAAGGCGAACAAAGGTCTGAGAATATGTCCGCAAAACTTGCCACTATACAACAATCTCCGGAAATTTGTGTGAGAAGTGACGATTCGGCTGAAAATTTATGTGAAAATGATGACAAAACTGCTTCTTTAAATTTTAATACTAAAAACAATTTAAATGAAAGTAGAAGTGTTGGGGACTTTTTACGAAGAAACCAATTTCTACAAACCTCAGATCTCAGTGCAATAGCACATGCTTCCCAAGGCTCTTTAAATAATCTTTTACCAAATATGGATTACACTAACAGTCAAGAAGGTTTGGATAAAGACTCTCAAAGCATAGATATTGCATTTACTCAGCAAGATAGTAACAATTCCGACTCAAAATCTCAACAAGATCCAATAAACATGAATGATGATGAAAAAGTGAAACTTGAGAATGAAGAAAATGAAAAGTTGGATAGCAAAGTAGTAGAAGAAGAAGAGGAAGAAGAAGTATATGAGCGGCATTCTCCTGTAGAAACTACTCAGTATGGTTATTTTGATCCTAATGAGATATATTCAGCAGCAAGTGTGGGCTATCACCCACAGCTGTTTGTAGCTCCAGCCAAGCCCCTCAAACTGTCTGAAAGTCAGAAACTAAATTCTCATCCTTCTAATAAAGTTTTACAATACTCCCATTCTGAATCAAGATTAAAAGGTTTATCTGAGGAGTATCAAATGAAACGTTCAACTGAAGAAGGAGACATTGCCCATTTAAAAGACACAAGTGATGTGTTTCTAAATGATAAATCCTTAAAAAAGAACTTCAGGACACGTGGAAGTGAGCCAGCATTTAACCCTAAAAGTTTACCAAAGTTCTGCAGTGAAGATAAACTATCTTCTGTACAGGAACAAGAAAATATTGATTCTGAAAATTGTGATATTTCTAATAAAACTTCGGGAAATGAGAGATACTGTGAGGATAGGGGAAATTCTGAGGATGGTATTCATATGGCTGATAGGAAATTTAATCCAGCTGAAAACGATCATACCTGTGTTGACCTTGATGAGATAGAAGAAAATAATTCAGATTCAGATAATAATGATAAGACATGTTTATTAAAAGGAATGGATTCAGACTCAGAAGGTAGGACTATCACAGAGTCTGTTAGACCTAATTCAGAAACTGGTCACAGGAAAGATAACTGTAACATGGGTCGTATATCAACTTTAAGTAGCCCAGATGATGGTGATACTAGATTATTTCATAGTAACTCGTGCCATTCTACATTTGCTAGCTCAACTAGCGGGGAATCAGAACAACGTTTATCTCTTATATCGGCTAATTCTGAGGACCTACCTATTGTGGAAACTGATGTATAGATACTTAAGATTTCCTAAGCCTCCCCCTTCCTTTGTTAATCATTTTAAATTTGTAGTTAGAAAATGCTTTGGGTGACTGTTATGATCATATATACATGTGTATTATTTTTCTAACATTATCCATAATAGGAATATTCAATACAAGTTGTTTGTAACTGTTTTACCCTTTATTTTTAGTACTTAAACATTTCACATAATATATATCTTTAAGGCTGTTATGAAAATCTGACATTTTTTTTTTATTATAAACTAAAGGAGATCTTGTGGGTGTTGAATCAATCAGTATTAATATCTTTAGTATAGTTTATGGCTTATTTACATTTAATGTTCAGTAATAATGCAACTTAAATAAATGACTTTCCTAATGCACCCTAACACCCTTTCTGGTTGTCCCTCCCAATTCTTTGGCTTTAGTCAGGACTTTGGCAGCTGGTTGTTAAATTGTGAGAGTTGCTCGACTCTTCCTGGATCTGCCCTCCATGTCCAAAAACTGCACCCAGGATCTTAACCTGCCAGAGCTTTCTTGGTGAAAAGAAGTCCATGAAAGCTTCAAATCTGCCAATGTCCTTTGCCTCTTCACAATGTGCACATACCAAGGGGTGAGACATTTATTGATTAATATTGTAACACTCTTTTTATAGTAACTTTGCCTTTGTTGTATCTTAAAGGTCATGGTAATTTCCTTCATTTGTCCCTTCTGTTTCCAACTACAAGTCTTGTTGTTTTTATCTTTTGTATATTTGGTTTAACCTTCTAATGTAACAGCCTCTAGATTGATTGACACAAAAGCCGCCTTGCTTCCATCATTATTGACAGAATTAACTGAAGAATTTAATGAAATCTTGTTAAGGAAGCAATTTATAGTTTAGGTTTGTAAAGTTGGGTGATTTCATGACTTGATGTCAGAGTTTATAATCAATTCCCTTCCATTAGTTTTTGTTCCATAACATAAACTAGAGGTCACAGCCAGTAGTTTCCATTAACAAGTCTACAAAATGTATCAATAATTTGTCTGTACAGATATCTAAAACATGAGGCTTCTCCAATAGGAATACTTAATCTTTCTCCTCTAGGAATACTTAATCTAATTATTTATTGTTAAGTGGGTTAATGGCAATTTACAAAACTGAATATATTCAGCATAATTTCCATCATGGAATTATTTTATTTTTTTTTAAGTGTGTTTGTGTACATGTGTGCATCTTTTTTAAGCTCAATATATTTGTTTCATGAGGAAATGTTGGGGTTTTTTTTTGTTTTGTTTTGTAGAAAAATATTTATTTTATTTTTTCTAAGTAAGACCTATGTTGTTTACATGAGGGAATAGTAATTTTGTTTTTTAGTGGTAGGACTTAGTTTGTTTTCATTAGGAATGATAAGACTTGAAGTTTTAAATAAACAAGATATGCAAAAGTATAATTTCATTTGTGGTTTATAAATAATTTAAAACCTCATATTCTAAATGTTCTAATTCAAAACGGAAATTTTGGGCTTTTTTTTATAATTTTCGTTTGAAAAACAGCAATCTTTCTAAGTCCATGATCTTGTTTTTTTGTAAAAAATGATATCTTATTTTTTATTTATTTCACTTTGACTCTACAGAAAAAAGGGGGCAATTTATTTTTGTTTACTAGCTTTATCATGTGATATGTTAAAACATTTCTGTTAAATAATTGAAGAGCTCTGGTTATATATATATATAGACTTAATAAGTTTTATTTAGATATTTTTTAAATAAGCAATATCGATTATATGTTAACAGTATGTGTTAAAATAGGCCATATATTTACAACAAACAAATTATATTGTATACGGTACATATTTTAGACAGTAACTATGTGCAATATATTTATTATGATTATAAATTTGTGTCAAAATTGCGAACAAAAAGTATTGTTTTTATGACATATAAACTATTGAATTCTGAATTTTGATGAAGAATTGTTGAGACAGTGTGTTCCTTATATGTGATGTAAGTACAGTCTAACTTGCCCATGCGACCACGTGTATTAAGCGACTTTTGTCTTAAACGACCACTTTAAATTCCCCCCGATCATTTTCTCTCTATATCTTTAATGTATTAAGCGACTTTTGCTCAACGCGACCAGCGACCGCTAATTAGTCACCTAATTGACATCAATCTTTTCATTAAACGACCACTTTTACCTGTCAAGTAATTGTGTTTTAAGAGAACGCCACCTCGTTATGTCACAAGTGTCAGCAATCAAAACACAACAATAAACGTGTGAAAAACTCTATTTCCCATACCGTTTTAGCGTATGCAAATGAAGTTAAGTATACGCGTGACGTGTTTTATCCAATAATATCGGATAAACAATGCAACGCTCCGCCCAAACTGAGATGGTGTATACGCTTCGCTTGTTGACATTTAGACTGCATTGAATTGACCTTGAACTTGATCAGCCATTAAATTAATCGTAACAAATAGATGTAGTTTGTTTATTTCAAATGAAAAAATTCACAACAGAAAACATCTTCACTAATAGGGTTTTCGTGTTGGAGACAAGGAAAAACAACGGAGAAGTTAAAAAATTCTGGAAAAAATGTAAAACATGTACGTAATGGATCAAAACTGTTTTGTCAATAAATATCGGAACGTTATTTTTACATTTGCATCCGTTTAGATTATCGGACCGTACTTATTATTCAACATTTATATAAAAATGAAGTTGAAAAACAATCCCATCGAATAAAAAAGATGTCATTTATAAATTTTGACTTTTATATCATGCTGACTGTCTTAAGAGACCGTTTCATTAAGCGACCGTTTTTGGTGTTTCCCTTGCCCGGTCGCTTAATACACGTTTGACTGTAGTATAATTTTGATTTCAATATGTGCAATTTTTTATCCTGTCCCATTTTAAGTCCCAAATATTATTTATATGTATATTTAAATGTATTCCCTTTTTTGTCTACATTTCATTCATATACATATGTAGATACATATAGAAATGTACTTGTGGAATTTCTATATGTGTCAAAGGATTATTTTCATTTGAATATTTTATTAAATTTTTGTAAAGAAAATGTAGGAACTGAGAACTGTTATCAAATATTTTACTGTTGTAATTTGCTTGTTTTTATTTCTCCAGATGTGTAATATGTAATTTAACATATTCATGCCTCCATTTAAAACGTGGAGGCATTTACTGTGACCAGGTCAGTCTGTAAGTATGTCACCACTTCCTTGTTCAATCAATAAATTGAAAAGGAAGCCATGGTTTATGTAACTTGTGTAGGGGTATTGCCTATCAGCAGCAGATGACTTAAAAGTATTGAATTTTTCTAAAAATTGCCATAACATTTTTTTTGTTGATGGAGGATTTGGATTTAATCTTGGACAAACCAAAAATTACCATGAAATTTTCATGCTGAGCAGGAAAGGTACAAACTTGACCTTAAAATGACCTTGACAATTGCAATTGCAATAATTTTCTCATTTTTTGACTGATTTGATTTATTTTTGAACTAACCACCACTTAAGATATAACTACCAAGTGGAGCAATTCACTTCAGACTTAGACCTTTCAGTAACCTTGACCTTCAAAGTAAAAGTAAAAATTAGCAAACTCATTGATAATAATAAATGGATTTGATTTGAATTTGGACATAGCAACACTTTGTACAAATCTTCATGTGATATAACTCAAGAATGACTGTGACCTTGACCTTTAATTGTGCTTGACCCTCTAATAACAGATATGAAAATTCATTTGAATTTGGCAAAACATAGTATTTATGTACAGATAAAATTTGGACCGAATGACATGTTGAACAACATCAAACTGCCTGAAGTGAAGATGATTTAAAATTTTAAAAGATCTTTTAGGTCTGTTATACTTTATGAAATTTTCTACAAAAGATCAAAATTTCAAAGTGAGTAATTCAAATATGACCTTGATCTGTGACAAACCTTCACTTGTTACGGCCTCTATCAATATTTTTGCATTTATAAAAAAAGTCAGGTTTGGCCCTTTTTTGTGGTGGCTCTAAAAAATTTTTATTGACTTGTAATTATAACAAACAGCTTTTGCAGGGAGTACTTACAAATTCAGTTTGCAATTATATATTTGATTCCATAGATTTCCGTTTTTACCCTTATTTGTTACATTCCTAGTAGTTTCTTTTTATCACTGTAACCATATCATTTCCTTTCATGAATTAATATTAGAAAATATTGACCACATTTTACCTACTGTTGCTGAAGCTGTTGATAAAATCACTAAAATTGGCTTTTATTTTGAAACTGGTTTTATATTTTGAGTTGTTATTGTTGATAAGTTAGATTATTTTAATATATGTAGATAAAAAAATGAGACAACTATTTATTTTGCTCACTAAATTTAGTGTATTCAAAATTATATGTTTGTTTTGTTGTTACTGCTTGGACAGAAAAATAAAAAACATAAAAATGAATAAAGTTATTTTTTTTTTTGTAGTTATTGAATTTAGGACAAAAGCCCACATCTCAAAATCAGTTGCTGGGTAAGTAAGACCAGCTGAAGGTTCATCTGCAGTCCTAGCATTTAACACACAGCACTATGGTCCATATGATCATTTTCGTTTGTTTGGTTTTCCACGCACCAACACAGTATAGGTCATACGGCACCGTAACAGGAAAGGTGATTTAGGCTTACCTTGGGTTTTATAAACTTAAAGCAACATCAGAGGTCAAAACCACCTCACCTGCTAGAGCTAAGAGATGCATAAACTCCAGTTAATCAAACCCATTTAGTCACCTTTTATGATCACCCAGGGATAAAAGGTGGCTGCAATTCTTTTGCTATATTAACCCATTACTTCATATACACGCCTTTTAACGCCTTTTTCACCCCCCCCCCCCTTTTTGTTGTCTCAAATGATGAAAAAATGCCTTATTTAGGCCCCCAATACTTGTTTTTGTTTGAGAAATGTTGTTAAAAAAAGTGACCTCTTTTTCGGCGCGGCCCCCCAACCAAAAGATAGGGGGGTTTGAAGGGGGGCGGCAGTCCCCCTCATCGCCAAGAAAATTTTGGACTTGTGAGAGGCTGTAAATGACCCCAGATTGATCATAAGGTAACGTGTAACCAACGCTGAAAAGCATTTGACTCTATCTCAATCCATTGAGAAGTTGCAGCACTTTGAAATCAATTTTGATGGAAAAAATCAACGCAAAATAGTGATTTTTGGCAATTTTGAGATGTCCCCTCGTTGCCATGGTAACAGAAAATTTAAGCCTGAGCATGTTGTTGCAAAGGCAATGGTCCAGTCAACATTTGTGCCAAGTTTGATTAGTGTTGAAGCAGTTTTTTTAGTATTATAGCAATTTGAACTTGTAACGGGAGACTTTTCAATGAAAACAGCCATTTTTCACAAAATGCTCATGAAGTAATGGGTTAAGTAATTCATTTCTGCCAAGTAAATCCTTTAAATAAAACAAATTTGTGAATCTGATTTTTTTTATATATCATTTTACTTTGTCTATTTATCCTTATGTTGTTCTTTATCCATTTCACCTATGCTATAGTGTTTGCATTTTTAATCTGTTCCTCTAAGATGTGATTTGGGCAACTTGTCCCTGGTGTTTTCTTATGATCTTCTGTTTGCCTCATTGTTTAATCATCCTCTTGCAATGTTTTATGTTGGTATCATAAAAAACAAGTTCCTTTAGTTTTATTGAGACATTTGGTAAAAGTATTTTAAAATTTTACACTTTTATGACAGATTTCACTATTAGACTGAATGCTTGTGTAATAAAAAATCTTTTAAGGGTTGAAGATAGTTTTTATAACTGAAGAAAATCTGTAACATTTCCTTAGACATAAAGGAAACATGTGTATTTTTGTGCTGGATATATATTTACACAAGTAGATTGTTATCTTATAAAAAAACAACACTTGAACTGTTCAATGTTTCTTACTTGACCTCGGAATCATACTTACATACACATTAATCTTAGAACAATCAACAAGTTCAATTAAATTAATGTGCCATCACTCGTTTATATGAGTACAGGGAATAATCTGTTCTCTTCTAACTGTTTTTATAACTCTTACTTCTAGACTGGTCTCTAAATATACTGATTTTAAGATGGTACATTTCAATCTTACAGTGATTTCTTTAATGGAATTGGATTCCGCCTGTCTGTTCTATTTTAATTATGATTCATCTGCACTACAGGCACTAAAACTATAGAAATCCCTACAGTACAGTGACATATGAAACTTCCTTTATATATGTATAGCATTGACTGGCATCATTCTATTTCCCCAGTCCCAACCATCTCTTAAAGATATACTATGCTCATCCTTGAGTAAAATATTTCAATCACAGAAATTTACTGAAATCTATGAAAAAATCTTACAGATTATGTCAATATATAAATAAAAGAATGGATAACCTATGCATGGGAAATTGTGTTCCCTATTACAAGTCAAGTAAAGTTGATCTTTTCTTTAAAAAATCTGCCAGTTTTCTAATGACACCATAAATTATATTCGTATTGTAACCATCTATAGTGTGTAAAGTTTAAAACATAACATATCTACCGTAATTTGTGTGAAGTCAAAACATGTTAATTTTAAGTCCTAGCCTTCCATCTCTTAATAAAATTCTTTGCTTTTTAACCACAAATGTTAAAAAAGGCTGTTTTTTAAGAAAGCAGAATTAAAGGTTTTCACTATGAATGAAGAGATTTTTGGTAAAATAGTGTGACCCATTTAGTAAAGATTTTTTTTTCACATTTGGTTTGATTGACACTGTTCATGTACAGTAATGAATAATTCATAGAACCACAGAATAACTGCTTTGGAATGCTATTCTATGAGAAGAGGCAAGAGGCCCCCAGAATAATGAAAATGTACCAGCCATGAATGAAGAAATGGGCAAAAGTCTGTAAGTTTCATCACCACCTTCAATAAAAGATTGTAAATTATGCTGTGGTGAAAAAGGTTTTAGTAAATACATATAGATTGGATGTAGGAAGTTATTTCAGTCTTGTTTTTTCTCCTTTTCTTTTCTTGTTTTTTTTTTTTCAAAGATACAGTTCGACATATTGCCATGGAAAAAATATATATATAAAAAAAAATATATAATCGTTAAAACAAAATACATTTTTTAGCCCATTTTATTTTTTTTTAAATTAAAAGCTGATTTAACGGTGTATTGTCATGATGAAAGTGCATAAAAACCTTCAAAAGTCAGCATAGATGAGACAGTATTAGAGTTTGATAGATTAGATTGGTTTGATTGACATTTTCCGAGACATTTGATATAAAGTATCTAGGGACATAGATTTACATTACAGGTAATGAATTAAATCTACTGGATAAAGTTCAACAACTATCATATGAGCCGCGTCACGACAAAACCAACATAATGGGTTTGCGACCAGCATGGATCCAGATCAGGATCCATGCTGTTCGCTTACAGACCCTATAACAAGTAGAGAAACTGATAGCGAACAGCATGGATACTGATCAGACTGCGCGGATGCGCAGGCTGGTCTGGATCCATGCTGGTCGCAAAGCCATTATGTTGGTTTTGTCGTGATGCGGCTCATATAAAGCTTTCTCAGCTAAATATGTGATGTATATGTTTAGAGAGGTCAATGTTGTCAGTGATGTACACTAATAATGTACATTAATACACCAGAGACTTGTGTCAACAGTTCAGTACATTTTATAACACTTCCAGTATAACATTCTATAATTATATTCTATATAACTATATTCTCAAATACATTAATAATCTTTTCCATATAAAATATTAATCTTTTTTCTATCTGAAATCTGAGGTTTTAACTGAAGAAATATCCGATCCATTCCAGGTAGGAATTTTTGTCAAACATCATGTAAAATGTGATCTTTATTCTTATGTCCTTTTTTCTTGTACAAAAATTTGCAAGCATAGCTGCAGAATATCATATATTTTGTTTTATATCACTGTCTATAGAAATACTACATATGTATTATGTCATATTTGTGTTCAATATAAACCATAACAGTGATAAAAGTTTCCTTTTCTTTTATAATTTTATATTTTAAATTTACTTTAAAGATGAACAAGAACAATAAATTAGAAATGTATTTTTTATTGTAGCATTCATATTTTCACAATGGTGCAAAGAAAAAAGTAGCATAAAAATGTTAATACTTCATAAAATGAAAGAAATTCAAGAAAAAAACGTTACCTTAGATTTCCTCGGAGAAATAAGAAGTTCCAATATTTCCCCCATATAATTTTACAAAGCTGGGGATAAAACATTTTTTGTACATTTTAATGCTACAAAAAAATTTTGAGTGAAATAATCTACAGATAATTGTCGGCAGTTCACAAAAGGCAGTAAAGATGTACATGCTGACAAAATAAATAAACTTATTTTTCTTTACTGTTTTGTAAGTTACTTTTTAAATTTTTTAGAAAATTGATAAAATATTGCCGTAAGGGATAAGGGACAAAGCTCATTTTGTATATAATTGTTTTGGATTATAGGGTTATTAGTACTAATAATCTGCACATTTTCAACAAAAAGCAATTTGAAAGCTATGCAGCTATAGAAATATATAATATAAAAGTTATAGTTTAGAAAACCCAAAAACCAGACTAGGATATTATGATGAAATAGCCTATTTGACATAGCCTGGTGAAAACACCAGTCAAACATTACAAAACTAAGTAAATAAACCATTCTGAAGATTCAGCGCAGCCATTTGTCGATTTGAAATTGAATCAACCAATCAGGAGCAAGAAATTAATGACTGGTTTCTCTTTTCCTTAGATTTGTAACCTTTGACCTAGAACCATTCTAGCACATTAAGGGATTGTATATACAATGGATAAAGCTAGAAGTATGCGAGGATTGCACAATTCAACATCAACACTGAAAACACGCCACATTACACGCACAATATACAATAATTACTATAGTGATCAAAATCATGTATGTTTATATAATATATAATTATCACAGAATTCAAAAATTAACAAATTTTCAGATTACAAAGACTTTGTGCACCATGCAATCATATAAAGATAATGGTTTCTGGTATGCAAAATCAACATCTTTACACATTTAAGTTGATATTTTCTATTGAAATTAGAATTGTCCTTTGGGTACGTCATATTTTATTGATATTCTATAATAAAAACAATAATTATAATAAACTGAATGACTTCATTATAAATTACATTAGGCTAGGATATATAAACAAACAGTTCAAGCAACAATAGAAACAACAAGCCAGTAGCTTGTAAAACAACATCAATATTTAAAGCTTAAAATGAGATTATATCAAAATATTTAACATTTAACACACATCAGTTTTATTAAGTAACACCTACCGGTAAATACCGGTATATATATATTTGAATAAAAATTTAATTAATATTTTAAAACTTAACTGGTTTCAAATTAGGAATGAGCATATTGATATATAAATATTACTGATCTTTTTAAAAAAGGTTTTATTGAGCAAATAAAAAAACAAAAATAGCTGATTTACATAAAAAAAAATAAAACTGCAACACTTAAATAACAACAATTAAGCATAGAAAATTACTGGTAATTCAAGTCATAAACTTAACAAAAAAGTAGGTTTTGTTCGTTTATACCTAGTATAGCTATTTATGAGATTATAACAGAAAACGCAATAAATAAATTTATAATTTGAATAAATCCTTAACTTGCCAACATTTACATGGTGTTATGGATTTATGCCTCAATCTTTAAAACTGGAACAGTCCTTTCAAAAGTTCTGGGATACTGAACTTGAGCTACCAGCAGTAAAGCACCAGGCCTGATGCCGGCCTGACTCAATACTGGTGGCAAGTTAAAGTCAAGCACAAAATAAAACATAAAACTTTAAATATATAATATATTCCATTATATAGAGGTAACAACTGTAAAAGAGAATCTGTAACAAGGACATTGAGCACAATGAATGATTTAAAATATTTTGTCTCCTTTAACTGTAAAATATTCTTGTCAAAATAGTGGTTATGGTTTACAAAGAAAGTTATAATATAAAACACATACTGCCAGTGGTGGTTATTAGAAATACACATACTATACATCATAGAAAATAAAACCAAAGTTTTTTAATAAAAACCTCTAGGAGTGAGTCCTAATTAAAGTTCAAACCCAACTGGCATTCTTGCCATATAACTGCTAAAACAATACCAAATACTGAAAGATTTAGTTCTAAAGAGATCTGTCTGATGAATGTTCAAATAAAATTATAAAATAAATACAAATATTACTGATTTGAAGCCCGTAATACCTTACAAGCCATTGGTCGATTTGAAATTGAGAGCAAGGAATTAATAACTGGTTTCTTGTTTCCTCAGATTTATAACCTTTGACCTAGAACCATTCTAACATCATTTCATATTAGGGACAGCTGATTGTAATATTTTACATTATAAAATGATTGCTATTGTGAAGTTAAATGATTGACACTATCTATATGATTGTTGACTGGCAGGATTTATTGTGTAACCATGGTAAAATATTACTAAAGTTTTCATATATTGTAAATTGATTAAAGTCTTCGATCCAAACTATTAATAACTATCTAACTACATCACTCATCTTACTAATAATTTCAATTTTTCACAAAGTTTCAAAGTGGATTAACTATTCGTACTAAGACTTCCCCTTCTCTATAAACATTGTAAATTCATTAGTGAAATTACAATTGTACTAAATGAAATTTTCAACCTTTAATATCTTAAGTGCAACATATAAAAAATGAATGGCAAAAATGTGAACAAACTTTAAACATGACTATGATGTAAAATCTTTAAATAAGTAACTTGAAAGGAAATCACTATTTTTCTTATCAAAATATAAACAACAAGAGCTGTCCGTAAGACAGCGCGCTCGACTTTTTTATTGCTTGCCAATAAAAAAAGTTTTTGCAGTAAAAGGCAATACAAGAATCTCTGTATTTTTAAAGTGAACAATGGCCATGAGCATTAAGATATTTAGTGAAGAATTATTTTACTGAATTGTGTAACTTGTCCACCAATCAAATAGGCGAGATAAAATGTGAAATATGCATATACTACTGATTTTAATTTCAAGTACAAAAAGAGAAAAATAACTAGTTGTTTGATACCCTTGAATATTACAGCAATGTTTATATGACATAATTTATGGTAAAGTGAACAAGTGGATAGGAATGAATTTTTTTAGATTTTTTAAGTTTTTTAGTGCTTGCCTATAATACAAAACATTGACAGTTAAGGGCCATAATTCAAATAAAATCTTTGACAGAATTACCTTCTCCTGGACATGTTTGGGAATCATGATTGTAAACAAGTATTCCAACTTTCAAATTAATATCTCAAACAGTTCAGTCAAAAAGTGGACTGGTACTAAAAACTTAACCAAGATTCTAAGTCGATAAAAGGCCTTAATTTTTAAAACAAATCCTTGACAGAGTTACCTTCTCTTGCGTACAGATGGGGGTAATGATGTGAAATAGCATTAAAAGTTTCAAAGCAATATCTCAAAGGGTTAAGGCAATAAGTGGATTTTACCCATATTCAATGTATTTTCTAAGTCAAAAAGGGGCATAATTCTGTCAAAAACCTTGACAGAGTTATGTCCTCTTGTCTGTTGATGAAGGTCGTGATGGTAAACAAGTATGGTCAGTTTCAAAGCAATACCTCCAATGGTTTTGAAATAAAGTGAGGTGGTACAAAAAACTCTAACCAAGCTCAATACACTTTCTAAGTCAAAAAAGGGCCATAATTCTGTCAAAAACCTTGACAGAGTTATGTACTCTTGTCTGTAGATGGAGGTTATGATGGTGAACAAGTATGGTAAGTTTCAAAGCCATACTTGTAATACTTCTGAAATAAAGTGGGGTGGTACGAAAAACTTAACCAAGGTGTGACGCCAACGCTAACGCCGACGCCGACGCCGACGCCGGGGCGAGTAGGATAGCTCCCCTTTTCATAGAAAAGTCGAGCTAAAAATAGCAATTTTTTAACTATCAATGAGAATTTATTTCTTATTTCTGTTAATTTTTGCCAAATATGGCATATAACATGAATGTATAAAGAATAATAAAAGAACAAGAATATAGCAAAAATGTAAAAGTTCATAACAAATCATGTTTACCACATTCAACTGATTTAAAAATAACAAGGTTCAAAATATAATGTGTAAAATTGTTTATAAAATAAGTTTAAACAGGCAATTTTATCACAAATAAAAATACTTTTTATCAATGTTTCTGCTATTTACAAAATGAAAAATACTGTTATATATTATATATTGACACTAAAATGGACGGACACACAGGCGTGTTAAGTCTTTACGACATGGCTGCTAAAGGTTGTTGCTGGGAACTGTGTAACTTGCTATCATATGTGTGATCATCAAAAAACACGTCCCGGGCTTGTATACTCCTGAAATTCAAAGTAACGCAAATTGTTTTTGTTAGTTATAGTAAATACTGAATAAAACTCGCTGCCAAGTGAACATTCTAAATTAGCGTACAAAATATGAAGCAATTACAGTAAGTAATTTGTAGTTCATTAATTTGAGCAAGAAATATTTTAGATCAATCTTTTTTAAATGTCATAAATATCTGTCTATTATAGCCAACGAGACAATTACCATTTCAAATTTGAATAGAAAAGCATTCAGGGAACTCATTCTATCAATAAAATTGAAATCAGTTTGATTTGTATATAGAGGGCGTGATGGCCTAGTGGTTAAGGTGTCCAGCATCAGGTCAGTTACCCTTAAATCTTGCCATGTAATAAAGCAACCAAGCCAGCTTACGTAAAGTCATCCTCTACCAAAGAACTGGGAATGTCGCCACATGACCCTTACCGTGTTGGTGTGAATTAAAAACCCAATCAAATAAATAAATAAACAGTATTATTTGTACGACTAACCTTGCTACATATGGTTGAAGTCTTCTTAAGTTTTCTGTAGATTGTATGTCAGGTCCGTAATTGTGAACAGAGGTGCTCTTTGTAAAACCATCAGGTTTCTGGCGCTGTAACCCACCTCGACAATGTCCTTCACGATCTAGTCCGGTCTCTGTACGATCATTGAATCTAAAATCAAACCCAACAATTGATATATACATTTACATATTAATGTCTAATACATTTTACAATACATCATGATTATGCAAATTATATGTGTGCATAAAACATTATTAAGACATATATATTTTCATATTAGCTGTCGAATTTTTACTTCAAACATTTGAATATGGATACATAATTAGGTAAATGTTCTTACATTGACTTTTATTTTAAAGCATTTTTATCTAGTCAATACATTTTACATTTAAAGTATGTAACTTTCAAGAAAAATAAGATTCATCAATTACCAGTTTTGTAATCTTAGTTAGCATTTATAAGAAGCATCAAAAGAGATTTACACTATCTAGGTCTCTTTTTATTTTGCTTACCTGGTCATATAGTGAGTAACAAAACGTTTTGGGTTGTCGTCTGTGGCAACAAATCTATCATTATTCTCACTGTATCCAGACAATTCCTGACTCCCAGTGCCTGTACGACCCAGGCGGTCACACTCTGTCTGAGATGGTCTTTGTTGACCCTTGTATGTGTCCATTATAATGCTGAAATAACAAACAGAAAAAAGACAAAACCATTAATAGAAGTAAGGTTTATAAAGATTTCAAGTGTTTGAAAAGAAAAATTTATGTACATGACATTGTATTCAATAGTAATTACTAGAACTAATTTCGAAGTGACAAAAAGGTTAAGGCACAAATAATAAGCTTAATATTTATGGAAGAAGACAAAAAAAAAATTCATTTTATTTCTACAAAAATATATTATAAATCACATCCTTATTAAAAGGAAACTTAAATTGTATTATAACTAAACTGCAATCAACTGTGACCATGACATAAGAATACAGTGCACTGTTGTAACGAGTGTAATTTGATATCACAAAATTTACTAACGAGGAGAAATTGTTCGGGTGTTGCATATTGAGATATTCTGTTGGATCATTTTTCTGTGTTCTATCAAGACGCAGTTGTGGTACATCTCCAGCCTTGTCATACGCATCGCCCATCACTCTGTGTACATACAGAGGCTTTGACTTCTCTCGTACAAATCCTGAACCTCGGTCTGAACCGTGTGATACTGTAGAGAACGGTTCATCTCCCTATATACAAAATAAACACCTTAATTTAAAATGGCTCATTTCCATAATTCTGAATCATATAGAATAGAAATAATTAAGAAATAATTCCACAGATTTATTTCATGTTACAGTGCTTAAAGCTTTTAGGTCTCAATTATTACATGAAATATTATTGACAAACTAGTTGAAAATGTTTAAAAACTTACATAAAAATAGTTAGAAAATGCTGTCATTAACCTTTGATGCAGATATCTTATTTATTATCACCATTTCCAGAATTTTGTAAATAATAATTAATTTATTAATGTTCTATAATAAACTATAGCCAGTTCAAAGATATAAAAAATTTTTGCATATAAAAATCAATATAAGGTATGATAAATTCATTATATTTTATTATTATATATTGTTATTATAATTTTACCTTTATTATAGAAGGAGGTTTGGAAATACACCGAAAATAATAGGGACGGCATATGCTGTCCCTATGGCAGTAAAAGGGTTAATAGTTTGGATGGATATCTTACCATCATAACCATTCACAAAATTGTAAATAAACGATTAATTTCAGTTCTAACAACAAAAATAGCCAGTCAAAGATAAAAAAATTTGCATTAAAAATCAATACAAGGGGGTCAGCTGAAGAAGTTCCATGTGATATTTGTAATAGAACTAGGTAAGTAAAGGGTTTTACCTTTGGATAAGAAGATGGTTGGAAACTTGTCTTCATGATACTTGGACCTGTTGGCCTCATTGTTGCCCAACCCTGAAAAGCATAACAAATCATGTACAGGTACATTAATTGATAACATAATGTAGAAATCACAGCAATGACATTTGAAATGTGTCTTATAATATCAGTAGTCGATAAAAAATTGAAATACATAAATATTTTCTATTTGAATACATTAAATAGTTCCTTCAGTAATCATGGCACAAATTTAATTAGTATACAATGAGAGAACAGTGAGAAGAATTTAGACAACAATTCAATTGTAATATCTGATATTAACCTTAATGCTGATCCTGAATGTAAAGTCAGTATAGTCATTAATAAAGGAAGGAATAAAAACAGCTGATAAGAATTTTTTCTAGAATGAGTTATATTTTGCTGTATTTACAGGTAAGAAAGTTTTTTGTTCTAGAATGTGAAATATTTTGTTATATTTACAGGTCTTTCATTTTTGTGAGGATTTCCTGGGATGAATGTAATAGGTTCATCATTGTATGCGTGTACATATCCGGAGAATTCCTGCGGTCCAACTGTCTTTCCTGATGTATCCACTATAATATAATGATAGATATTTCATGTCTAGTCAATTATGTTATATAGAGAAAATCTGACTATACAGGTGCTTTAATCAAACTTTATAACACAGTGCTTGTATTTGTAATTTGTTATCTTCAAACAGAAAAAGCATGGTAAAATAGCAAAATAAATTAAATGCATGCATACAATAAAAAATGTTATTATATAATCTATAAATAGCTTTGAAATGCCTTTCCCTGTTTGGCTAACAAGCAACTTTTTGTAAAAAATAACAGGTTCAATATCAGAGTATATTCACTGTTTTTTCCTAAAAATAGATTTTCAGAGTATATTCACCATTTTTTCTTAATTCTATCGCCTCGGTCAGTATTAATTTTTTCAGTACATATCACATCATATTCACCAGCTAAAAAGTCCATATTTGTATAATATACAATATTATCATTAATTCAATGGGAAAAAAATTATAAATTTAACAAAAACAACATTGTGGCAGATCAAAAGTTATAAAATTATGATAAAAAATACCTCTATTCTTTGAAAAATCAAACACTAAAATGTTCTTTTGAAATAAACAAAACAAAATAAAGTTGAGGGGTAAATTGTTCCAGGGAAGAATAACTACAAAAACTACCAATGTCTCCCAAATATTCTACAACTATAGAGATGAAATAACATGCATCATGTACAGATATCTTCCTAATATAATACATGTAATAATATATATAATATACCACTGTGAGGCTAAAATATGTGATATATAATGTAATTTAGTGATAATTCTATTCATATAGTAAGAGAGACAGAGAAAGACAGTGATAAATGGCAATGAAAAAGTTTAATGATACATTATTTCAGTATATTTTATATAATGATAGAAACTATACTATCTTCCTATTGAAGAACAAAAGCTATGTACTGATAAATGAGAAAGAAAATACTGAAAAGAGTAGTACTGATACAAAAATAAAAATCTATTCAGTTTATACATAGTATGATAGTACACCAGATGATTGACTATTCTATAGATGTCCTAGTTATGCATGCTTTTAATTATGCAAATTGTTTCACATCCATTTTATCTTATTTAGATTGACAAGAAAGTCAGCATGTTTAACTTTCTTGAGACCTGGGATAAATTTTAACAGGAAAAGTAAAGGTAGTATTACAGCCTGGAGAAGGCAGCCTCACTCCTTACTGTCATGATAACACAATGACATACAAGACACTCAGTATAAACATGAAAGGATTACAACATACATTACAAAAGGAAAAATGTAATTTCTATAAAGAAATGGAATGATAGTGCTAAATCATGAATGACAATATTTTCTGATAAATATATAGTTCATATATCATTCTTGGTACTTATACAGTTGTCTTCTTGGTACTAATACAGTTGTCAACATCTAAGAAAATTCTTTATACAAGGGAGGTAACAAGTAAGATTAAAGAATGGTATTTAGTAGATCTTCATGGAATATTCTTTTTAATGGAGTCGGTACTGTCACTTAAAAGGCTTAAACTTTAAAAGGCATTTCCATCTATAACTTGTCAACTTTGTTTTGATTTTATGTAACTTGGACTAAAACTCTTTATTTTAGACATTTAGGGCTAACCTTGGGAAGGATTGAAAGGTAATAAATAATATAAATCTACAGCTAAATCTCTATTCCCAAGCTTCTGGGTCTTGTATTTTATAACATGGAAGTCAGAATATTGACGGGAAAATTTCTACAAGATATTGAGAAAGGCAATGTCTGATTAAAGTTGAAATGTAATATTCTGGGCTCAACATTGTCATGATTAGTTACATCACTTCAGTGTTCTCTTAAACTTTCATTATCATATACACAATACATGTATTCATGGTCATTGATGAAGTACATGTATGTTTATGGTTTATCAGTAAATAAATTAATCTTATCATAACTTAAATATTACACTATGACAAAAGTCACCTGTGAAATAATGTTAATCTCAATTCTTTCTAAAAATCTAGAACTAGTTCTCTATGTTACTACAGAACCCTTTGATATCTTCAAGACTTCATTTCCATGGTTTCTGTTCTGTGTTGTATTTTTTCTTAAAAAAATAAATCCTTTTTCAAGTACAGAAGTTCTGAATCATTCATTCTTAAAGTAAAATCCATGAATTTGTAACCTACAGCCAATAAATTAAGATTTTTACAAGTAAGACAAATTTTTAAAGCCTTTGGAATTATAAACGACATTTCAAACATTGCCTTTCTACAGAGAAGTAGGGGAAAGTAAAGGTAAAGCTGTTTTTGTCCTAAAGAAAATGCAGAGATAGTAAAATATGTAATATATAAGTAACATGACAATTTCTACATGTCATTAATAGATAGTTACCATGGTAATAGCTTACACCATCTGCAGTATAATATATATTGTTATAATAACTGACAAGTACATCTTTCATTGTTAGTTTACATAGTAACTATTGTTTTCCCCCCTGCCTACGGAATCAATAAATCCTCTCTTTAAAATTTTAATTACATGTATGTGATTTCAATCTATGCTGTGTTTCATATTAAACATGGGTATTAAATCTAAAAGATGCTTTAATTTATTTGAAAGATTTTGATTTAAAAATAAATTTGCATCACACTTTTAATGATAACCAAGTTCTGTAAGTGGAATAAAAACCTAGCACCATCTAACCCTTGACCTGCTGAAGGTTTTACAAAGGATTTGCACAACTTTGAATATTCCATTCAATATTTAAGGGTTTTAAATATTAAAATGCAAAAATTGTGCTACCAACAGTATAGAGCTGGGTCAGGCTATATGAATGTGCTGGCTGACTTGGCTCTATACTGGTGGCAAAGGCTGATTACTTTTGGTTCCAGTAGATAAAGATGAATAAAAAAACATTCTGCTTTTTTGGCTACAGAAATTATAACTTGGCTATAGGATTTCTTTACCCATGTAAGGCTTTTTTCATAAAATTTTGTATGAAATTGGTTTTCCTAAAAGGATTTTTTAACCAGGTGTAAACCTGATTTCCTGTTTATGTTTGTTATAGTTTAAAGGATTAAACATTCAACAGACAAACTTTTTTAAACATCCCAATCTCAATAGAGTGTATAGAAATAAAAACTTTTTATGGCACTTTCATTTTGAATGATAATGCAAATTATATTGTTAAAAAATGAATAATTTTTAGGCTGTTGATGTTTCACTGAAAAGTTAAAGTGATACAAGATAGGGAAATTCACTCAAAACACCTTTAAAATACAAGATAGTTAAATACATGTACATACTTCTGTCAGGCTGAGCACCAAGGAATCTCTGTTTGGTCTCTGAAAGCATGTATTTTGGACCCTGAAAACAATAAATACATCATACTGTCTTTATTGCAATTCACATTCTATGCAGAGTAAAGTAAAAAAAATATGGAGTCATGTCAACTTACAGATAGGTTGATTTAAAAAAAGTCTAAATGTGATTATTGCATTAATAATGTCAATATTCCTTTTAATTTTAATTCATATTAAAAATAGATAAGTTTCATAAAAGAGCCATAGTTAATAAACATGTAAATTTGTATCATAACAACACACATTTTAAAAAACATAATAAACTAATAAATTGTTTGTCCTAAAGTCCTAAAAACAGATCAACAACTCACATATCCACAGTTCTCCAGCTCTACAGGATCTTTAGCTCTCAGTGAGTGCAGTAGAGGTTTAGACTTGGGTAAAATGTTGGCAGGGGCAGAGGCTGCCCTGGTATCAATGAACACACCCTTTGCCTAAAAATAAAACAATTGAAATATATAAAACAGAAAATAAGTCATTAACCCTATCTTAAATTGACTTGAAAATCAGGACAAGATCATTATTTTTTAGGGAAAACTTCAAAATACGTACTAAGTAAATAGCAAACAGTGCAGACCATGGTCAGTTAGCATGGATGTGTCACTTGATCTGAGTCCCATTGGTAGAAACACAGTTGCTGCGTGCAAGGTAAGGGTTAAAATGTAGCTTTTAATGTTTGTTATACGTAAATACATTTGATAACTGTACAAAATTAACTTAATGAACCATATCTTATGATTTTAAAAGTTTTTTATGCAATGATTACAGAAACTAAAAATGTACTTATACTTATGACATGTATGCATACCTCACTATCAAGAGGAAATGTTATAGGCTTTTGTCTAACAAATCCAGATCCAACCTGGTGAGTGTTGAATGGTAATGGCTCATTGCCTCTATTTTCTTTGTAAGATTGAAAATCTATACTGGTTACACTGCGATAATTTTGAGCACATATATTCCTGAAAATAAAAATGCGATACTTCATAATTTCCCGTAACAGAAAACTTGAGGGCTGAAAATAGACAATCTCTGAGTAAAATCAAAGTTCGTTGACAAAAATTTGAGTCCAGAGACCATGGATTAGTAGGAAAAGACCTATAATTTAAATGATTTCATTAAGCTAAGTAATATTGGGTATTTGAGAATTTTATAACTAGTCCTCAAAATTAAATATATCTTTAATACATATCAAGAAAAATAATTACGCTAAAGCGGGGTTATCCTGTCGGTCTAATCTGTTATTGTAGTATACTCCTGGACGAAAGTTTGACAAGTAGCCAGTCCCTGTGTGATGACCTGATCTTGGCTTGTAGTTTGCGAAATGTTTCCCATATGTTGTAGAATTTTGTGTTACATAAAATTTCATCATATTAGTGTCTGGGCCATGGCTGGCCTGTATGTGTGCAGTACGCGTGCCTTTTGGTAGTCGCCCCATTTTCTAAAGAAAATAAAAAGTAGATTATAACAGCTATCTTACATAACAAATAAATATGATAAAATTAGTTAATCACAGTGTGTGTAATAATGAAACACTGTTTTTATTAACAACCTGATATGAGTACAAATCGTAGTTGTGAAGACAATTTAATTTGGCTTTGCCCTACATTTCGTCCAAAGCCTATATATAGCCTAAATTAAAAATGTCTGACAGTCCATTTTGCAAAAATTTCCTCAAAAGCATTCATTTAGAGTAACTAACTTACGTATGTCAAACAAGTATGTCAAAAACGAAGTTAGATTGATGCTATTAGTAAGAAAAAAATTAATTGTCTTAAAACAGCTTTTCCTACAGCCCTCCTTTTGAGTTGTTAAATTGTTTTATATATTGTCATTAGCATTTAATTATCAATAAGTTCAAACATATCAAAGAATATAAAAACATTTACATATTAAATATTAAAAAAAAGATGTTTTATATAAAAAAAAAGTAGTAGATTTATTTATAAGCTTGGTTTAATTTGTTTCTATATATTATTATGAAGACATTACAATTTCACTTGAAACTATCAAGGGGAGCGGTGGCCTAGTGGTTAAGGTGTCTGCCTCTCAACCCAGAGATCATGGGTTTCAGCCCTATTCGGGTCACGACCATGTTTCTTCATATGACACCGGTACTGGTTGGTTCCAGAAAGCAGACTCGAAAGTGATTAATATAAGTTGTAATAACTTGTTTCGCAATCGAGCTTAATTAAATATGTTTAAACCAACTATCAATACCAAGAGCAAGTTAAACAGGCCTAACCTTTCCAACAGAGTCAGAATTATACTACCGGTTACCTCTTAACTCACATGCAGGACATATGCTGGAACTAGTCCAATATATTAGACGTTACAGGCTTGTTATAGTTTTTGTCGGTCAATTTGCCCAGAAGCAAAAATATCTCAAAGCGAAGTCATATTTATAGGACTAATGCTGGAACCAGCTAGTGACTACAGAATGAATCCTAATTCCCTATATCTATATAACTATTATAATTACACAGAAAGCAATTCATAAATATCAAAAGTTCTATTTACTTTTGCTACCTTACAAGTAAAATTCTTGTTTATCTTTGCAATAAATCTTGTTTATCAAAACAACCATATGCATTTTTATTTTTTTCAAACCTCAACAGTTGGATTTAGTCAAAACCTTCCTACCACATTTATCAACAAAAAAGTTAAACAAGTGTAAATCAGAATTGTTTATTTAATTACCTTTTAAAAACACCAGCTGAACACTTGATTCTTATCAAATATCAATAGAAAAAACTGACCTCAAAATTACCTGGTTAATCGTCGTCACTGGCAACACATAAACTTTCAAGGGGAGACAATTATCGACGACATTTAAACTTTGACGAACGAATTTCGTCTAATATCGCTGCAGGACAGTGTGTCACAAAATATTTTTTGACGGGGACGTTTTAAGGACAAAGTTTATTTTTGTTAAATGGTCATTTCTATTGTTTTCTTTCTAATTTGTAAATAAAGCAGTGGATGGTGACGACACGGAGAAATTATTACATCGAACGATACGATTGCAGCGATTCGTGTTAGCAGTCGCTTTTACATTAACATTTATTTACTTCCGGAATCAACACGTGAAAAGTTGAAAAGTGACAAAACGCAAAATACAAATTTAAACAGGTTTATTACAGGTATAATTTTATCCCAAGTCTTGGGAGGGAATAATTGTGTGGGGTTTATGTTTTACCCAAAAATTTTTCGGGAAATGGACCTCGAGGAAAAAGGAAAAAGGGAAACTAAAATTCCAACATTTTTTGGACCGGGGTTTAAATATAAAAAAAACGTACATTTGATGTCCCTGATCTTCCTTAAATATATAATTTGAAAAATAAATACTTAAATTCTCAAAGGTATATTTGTAATCCTGATTCTACTGAAAGATAATATTTTACATGTCTTTCAATATTTTTATTTTAAGAATTTGACAATATTGTGAACATTCATACTTTTTTTCATATAGAAAAAAAATGTCCCGATTTAGAAATACACAAATTAAAATGATTGTATTTTTGTGCATATACAATGTCAACGTGAAATATAGTTGAAATTCTAATGTTTTATCAACAAATTTTACGAATATTATGAGATTAAAATGATATATTTAGGCTAATATTCTAAAAAATGTTCAGGGAAAATGTCCCTTTCAAGAAAAAATACGCGTCACTACCGTTACAATAATCCAAAGAACAACCTCAAAGTAACTTCCCTTTTCATAACTCTTCATTTGATGACGTAAACAAGTTTATTGGCGCGAATATTTTAAAAGCAGAGAAGATGCCACCAGAATGGCGGACGATCTAGATGACAAAATTAAAGGTAAATATATGCATATAAAACGTGCTTTTTAGTAATATCATTACCGTTATATATGTTTAAGATCGTTGCTTTAGTAACATAATAATATTTTTGCTACTGTTGTTTGAACATACCGAATTAAACTCGTAGCTAGTATAATAGTAAACATTGTGATATAGAGAGGCTCTCCAACGGGGAATATTGTGTTTATACTCACTACTGTTACAATCACTACCGTTACAGAAATTGTGATAGTAGTATGTAACGGTAGTGATATTTGACGTAACGGTAATGATAATCAGATATAAAATTGTAAGTTACATTATATTAAGTGGTATAAATAAGGCATTAAATGATAAGGCATTAAATAATATAAATATATATATAGATATAGAAAATAACACAAGTTTAAATAAATAACGTTTACCATCTTCCTAAATTATATCATCAATACTTTCAGGGTTCAAAGTGATATTGAACAACACTGACCGGTATTTAGGAAACACACAGCGCATTTTTTACAGCTTATTAAATCTTCGAGACGAGGAAAAGGATAAGGATATTTACTGGGGGAAACGTGTTTGCGACTTAGCTCAGGGGTTTTTTTTAGGAAAAGGGGAAGACGCTGGACACTGGTAGGGAGGGGAAAAAATATACGAAAAAAGTCAATTTGGGGAAACTTTATTATGACGTTATTTATACTATATACTTAACTACATAGTAGAGAGTTACAACTATATCTTTTTCCCCTTAAAAACTTTATCATCATGCAAAATATTCTTTGCAGTATAACATATTTTCTTAATATGTATGGTGGTGAATGGTTTTTATACTTCTATTTTTGTATGAAAGTTAATACAGTATAGGTATAATAGTGTATCTGTGACACACTTTAGCTCCATATAAGTCATTTTCATAATAAGAAGTACAAAATATATTACTTTACTAAAAATAACCAAGAAAATGACAATATTTTGATAGCAACTGATTTCCAGAAATAGTACCGTTCAGTACGGGATATAGCCAAGAAAAAAAAATGGCTGCCTCCATGTTGAGACAGTACTTGCAGTTTCCTGCAATGTTTTTGGTTATTTTGAACAACAATTGGTGGTTTATCCTGCATAAAATGAAGAAAAATAATATTTTAAACCATGTAATTATTAAATCTGATCCAGTTTAAAGGAAAATAGAATTTTTTGGGGGAAAAAACTTGGCTATTTACCGAGGGGAAGACGCCGACTATCGGTGTCAATTTGTTAGTAAAAAAAACCTCTGTAGCTGATTGTATTGCAGACACTAGAGACTTAATAAAATTAAAAACAAAACAACTGCATCAATGGGACTCACAGCTAAAGAGCGTATGGCGCGTTGGCGCGAAAAACAGCGGGCAGACCCAGATGCCCATGCCAGATACAAACAAAAAGAGAGAGAGCGTAACAAAAGACGTCGAGAAGAGGGAAAGTTAAAGACAATAGAAGATATGTCAGCTCGTGAAAAAAGGCTCACACGAAAGCGCTGGAGGGAAAACTCTTAATATTACAGACAAAGAAGAAATGTTACAAATAACTTGATTACTCCGCCAACTTCTCCTGAGCATGGATTATATGAAAATGACCAAGGAGCGGAAAATCTTGAAAACAACAGATCAAGCAGCATGAAAAAACGATATGCACGAAAGAGAAAAAATGACAAAGCTAAGTGTTATCGTAAAAATAAAACATTACAAATAAAGCTCAAGTTTCAGGAACGCCTTACCGAAAAATACAAGAAACGATACAACCGTCTTAAACATAAGGTACATGGCATTGATAAGTATGACCCGATACAAAGAACTGATAAAGAAAAAAATAAATTTCCTGTGAAGGCCTTCCTGCTGTACAAAACAAAGATTAACAATATAAGACAACGATACAAAATGGCTAAGACAAATAAAGAAAAAAGATTGATAGCAGGGTATGTTACAAGGAAAAGAATATTAAAGCAATATGGTCTAACTACATTTGCAAATACAACATTAGCAATATCTCGAAGACATCTTGAACAAAAACCACTTCGTAAGCCTAACATAAAAACTCTAAGAATGAAACGAAAATTACACGAGTATTTTGAAAGAGATGATGTTTCGCGAATTACTGCTGATAAAAATGCAACCATCACTAGAAACGGGACAAAGAAACAGATCAGATTTTTAGCTGACGACCTGAAAACATAGCACGCAAAGTATCTATGGGAGAATAATTCAATGTCATACAGTTTGTTTTGCAAGCTTAGACCATTCTGGGTAATCAAACCCCGAGAAAAGGATAGAAAAACTTGTATGTGTAAAATCCATGATAATTTAAACTTGAAATTACACGCTGCATGCAAAGATGGCTTAGTCCAGACAAAAAACCTAAATGTTTTAATCAAAACGATTGTATGTGATGATATAAGCCAAGAATGCATGTACAGAGAATGCAATGAATGTAAAGATAGTAAAATACTTTTAGCCATGACGATGGAAACAGATCTATTGAAGCAAATCACCTGGCATGAATGGAAGACAAAGCGAGAACTAGTCTATGAAACTGAAAACTCAAAAATTGTAAACAAGATTGTTAAACAACAACAACAACAACAACAACAACAAGGTACCAGACTAGTTCTTGCAAAGGAAATAAACGACAAAATCCGAGGGGCGTGTAGGCGCATTTTTAATATGTGAAATCAGTACAAACCACAACAATATCTGCGAAGAAACCTTACGCATGAAGAATTGATAGCACATATTGATTTTTCTGAAAACTACGCTTGCAAATACGCACACGAAATTCAAGCAATGCATTTCGGTGGTTCACGCAACTTCATTTCACTTCACACAGGTGTTGTTTACACTAAAGATAACATAATACCATTCTGCACTGTAGCTGATAGCCCCAGACACGACCCAGCAGCAATATGGGCACACCTTGAACCAGTGCTGAATCATGTTACTGCTGGCAAAAAATACAAACGCATCCATTTTGTCAGTGACGGGCCTACAACCCAATATAGAAATAAACAGAATTTCTATCTTTGGACAACAAAAATTCAAAAATATGGCTTTGGAATGTCAACATGGAACTTTTTAGAAGCTGCACATGGCAAGGGACCTGCAGATGGTATTGGGGCAGCAGTGAAGCAAGCTGCTGACCAAGCTATAATTGTTAAAGAATTAGATATAACATGTGCAAAAGATTTCATAAATTTAATACAGGACACAACGTCAGTTAAATTATTCCTAATACCTCAAGAGAAGATCTGTGAGATAGATGAAGATGTTTCAGAAAACCTATCCCCTTTGCAAGGCACTATGAAAATTCACCAGGTAAATATCTTAATTTTTCAAATACTTGGCATTTTGAATATCTAAGGACTAGAAAATTAGATGATTCAATAGCACACAAACACACATAGACTTATAAATGCACACACACACGCACACACACAAGCACACACACATACATATGTAGCTTAATTATGGCAATAACTAATTTGTTAAAAATACAAAACAATATAAGTAGTAAATTATTTGCATATGAGTAATAAAGTAATACTTATTTTCATATAATGCAGTATACTTACAAAATCAATTTAATTTACAGCTTGTATTGGAGGAACCACATTCATTCACATCTAGAGTGCTGTCGTGTTTCTGTGAACACCCGACCAAATTACAGTGCAATTGCTTCAAACCTGATGTTCACACTGTACCTCAGCTTAAGGTATGATCAATTATTTGGTATATATTTTAAATTAAGATATGACAAAACAAGATAGAAAAAATGGTGACAATTTATTGTGAAATATTTAACTTTTTCACAAACATATTTTAGAATTTGTAAAGGAAGAATGAAAAGTGCTTGCAAAGCATTGCACATGTAAACTCAAGTTATCAAACAAAGTCCCAATATGAAGTTGTCATTATTATATACGTTTGTTGGACATCAACCAGCGCTTTATGATTTTATCATGTTTTCTTCAGGTGACAATGTCGGAACTCGTAGAGAAAAATGTTGATGCTGTGCAGCTGAACAAAGTATCTGTTGTTGAGGAAAATCTAATTGGTCGATATGTTGTTGTACAATACGATGGACTCCCTTTCCCAGGAGTTATTCTTGATGTTGATGAGGACGAAATAGAAGTTAAGGTACAAAATTCTCATTTACCAAAATGCACCAAAATGTGCTCGTGTCTTATTTATATAATTGACATAATTCTAAATTACGTAATAATTATGTATGTACATGTTAATACTTCATATTATTTATTCTTCAGGCAATGCACATAGTAGAATAACAGATATTTTTGGCCTATG